AAATAAATAAGTAAACAAACGTTAAGACAGCATTTTTGTGATACACAGTAGCAGGACTTGTCTGGCCTGTTACTTACCAGGGTATCTTAGATGGATGAGCAGCTTTGAGGCCTGACTCAAGTTGGAAACAGCAGATAAATGTAGGTTTTTAGATACTACACTATGAAGAGAACAATTGTCTTGCACCTGAGAGCTTCACCATGTCCAGGGCATGCCCATATCTAGTCTCCTCATCAGATAACTGCTGTCTGGAGTCCAGTCATTTTCTGTTGTGGAAAAAATTTTTGTCACATTTTCTGTTACGCAAGGTCATCGTCATTGCTTTATTTCTAAATTCCAGCATTTTCAAAAAATATGATAGGTAATCTGGCCTTCTCATATCTTGGGTTATCCTATCGCTTCATAGTATGATCTCCTTACTGATTTTTTCTTTTTGGCTTATTCTTTCCGTTACCAAGAGAGGTGTGTTAAAATAATCGACTGATAGCCAACCTGCCTTCTTCTGGTGGCAGTTTTTTGTCAGTGTCTGCTTTCCCTGTTTTGGTGCTCTAGTGCCCTCCAGGGACTAAACCAGGAAATTCAGGCATGGTGATGCTTGTCCTTTATTTTCTGTGGAACTCTGTGGTGTCATGTCCTTGTGATTTTGTCCCTGTTCTCTATTCTTGCTTCTGTAGACACTTGTCTGCATTTTTTTTTTTTTTTTAATTGCTGCTCTTCCTGCCTGGAGCTTCGGCTGCAAAGCAGCCTTGTTTCTTTGTGGGGTCCATTCTGCATGCATGGGTGACTGCTGTCAACTCAAAGGATTCGCAGAATCTAGAGAGGTTCTGGCTCATTCTAGCCCAGAGGGTCAGGGTCACCTTGAGTCCAATGGGCCATGATGGGGACAAAAGGATTGTAGTGCAAAATTAGGTACCTGGGTTATTGGTGGAGGATAGGTTCTTTTAGAAGGTTGTGTGGGTAGGGGGAGTCAATGATAAGTGTTTTCACACTGAACATGATTGATGAACATCAGAAATCACAGGAAGAAATAATTACTAATAAATGGTGGGACAACTGGTTAATTATGTGGTAAAATAAAACACTGAGATATTCACCTCTTGAAGCAGTGAAATTCATATGGATTAAAGAAACCCACAAAACTAGGAAAAAAACTGGGTTATATTGTTACCAAATTTCTAGGCAGGAAAGAACTTCAAAACTAATTATATTTATTTTACAAACCTGGGATCAGACTATAGTATTTTTCTCTGCTTTTTTTTTTTTTTTTCACTTTCTCTGTAAGGAGTCTTTTTTTGTGTAATTAACTTTTGATAGAAAATAATGTAAGTTCATATTGTTTCATTATATGCACTGTAACAGACCTTCTTTGTTATGCAAATGGTGTGACATATGCCTATAGTCATTTTCGTGACCAAGGAAAGTTCTTTCAAAGTATTAAAGTAACGGAAGAAGTCACAAATCTCTTAACATAGTTTTGAATCTCACCTATTGTAAAATCAAAGTATACGTACATAAAAAAATTTTTTTTTTTTTTTTTTTTAAATTTTTTTTTAACGTTTATTTATTTTTGGGACAGAGACAGAGCATGAACGGGGGAGGGGCAGAGAGAGAGGGAGACACAGAATCGGAAACAGGCTCCAGGCTCCGAGCCATCAGCCCAGAGCCCGACGCGGGGCTCGAACTCACGGACCGCGAGATCGTGACCTGGCTGAAGTCGGACGCTTAACCGACTGCGCCACCCAGGCGCCCCAAAAAAATTTTTTTTAATGTTCGTTTTTTTTGAGAGAGACAGAGCATGGTGGGGGAGAGGCAGACACACACACACACACACACACACACACACACACACACACAGAATCTGAAGCAGGCCCCAAGCTCTGAGCTATCAGCACAGAGCCTGACACAGGGCTTGAACCCACAAACTGGGAGACCATGACCTGAGCCGAAGTCAGACACTTAACCAACTGAGCCATCCACACACCCCAAAGAAGTGTGCACATTTAACAAACAAATCAAATTCTATTGAGAGTTTAATAGTGAAAAATAGTCCAGTCTCCTCCTTAGGGCTAATGTATTTTTAACACTTCCAACATTTTCTTCTAGTTTTAACTACTTTTATTTTTTTTTTTTTAAAGACTTTATTATTTTTTTCAGAGCAGTTTTAGGTTCACAGAAGAATTAAGGTACAGATAGCCCACCCACACACATGCACAGCCTCCCTTCCCATCAACATCTTCCACCAGAGTGGTACATTTGTTATAATCAATGAACCTACAGTGATACATCAATCACCCTAAGTCTGTAGATTAAATTAGGTTCCTACTTGGTGTTGTGTATTCTATGGGTTTGGACAAATGTGTAATGACCTATATCCATCATTATAGTATCATTTAGAATAGTTACACTGCCCTGAAGAACCTCTGTGCTCTGCCTATTCATCTCTCCTTCCCTCTGAACCTCCAGCAAACACTGATCTTTTTACTGTCTCCATAGTTTTGCTGTTTTCAGAATGTCATATAGTTGGATTAACTACTATTTAAAAGAATTTTTTTAAGCATTTATTCATTTTTGAAACAGAAACAGAATGTGAGTGGTGGAGGGGTAGGGAGAGAGGGGGAGGCACAGAATCTGAAACAGGTTCCAGGCTGTGAGCTGTCAGCACAGAGCCCGACGTGGGGCTTGAACCCGCTAACCATCAGATCATGACCTGAGCTGAAGTCACACGCTTAACTGACTGAGCCACCCAGAGTCCCGATTAACTACCACTTTTTTTTTTTTTTTTTAATTTTTTTTTTTCAACGTTTATTTATTTTGGGGACAGAGAGAGACAGAGCATGAACAGGGGAGGGGCAGAGAGAGGGAAACAAAGAATCGGAAACAGGCTCCAGGCTCTGAGCCATCAGCCCAGAGCCTGACGCGGGGCTCGAACTCAGGAACCGCGAGATTGTGACCTGGCTGAAGCCGGACGCTTAACCGACTGCGCCACCCAGGCGCCCCTACCACTTTTGATTTATCATTTAGATATTTTCTGTTGATTTCCTATTATGGAAAGTGATCCCTTCCATTATTTCTTATTTCTTTTCATCCTCTGCATATAATTAACTTGCTGTTTTTATTACATCAAACATAAATGTTCACATAATTTTGACTATGTAAATATCATTGAGTGAAAAGAGAAGTGTGTTCTATAATTGCATTTTCTTTCTTATACAACCTTTTCTTTTCCTGGAGTTAATTATTGCCTTTGTTTTTTTTTTTGTTTTGTTTTGTTTTGTTTGAAAAAGTAGGCTCTTATGCCCAATATGGAGCTTGAACCTATACTCCGAGATCAAGAGTCACATACTCCACTGACTGAGCCAGCCAGGCACTGCTGCTTTTACTTTTAAATCCTCTGCTTTGCTGCCTATACAGCCTTATTTATTTTTCTGTCCCTGAAACTCCTCCTTTTATATAGATTTTTCTGTTGGGGGGAAAATGTGAAAACCTGTGTTTGCCATTTTCCTTTTCTGCTCCCTGGATCTCATTTTTTAACTGTCTTTCCTTGCTACTCAGATTTTCTTTTGCTATGGAAATGTTCTTTTTTCTCATCTTTTCTTCCCCTGGAGCTCTGTGCTAGAATTTTCCATTTTCCTGCTTCAGTCTGGACTGCCAGCACTCTTTTAACCTTTTGCGTTATAGTAATCTTAGACTTCTTAAAGATGCTTTCCTGAGTTACGTGCATTGTTTTGTGTGGTTCCACACTGTGCTTTTGGTCAGTTTTCCTTTTTGGCTGGAATATATTTTTGGTATCGTAAGAAAGTGTGTATGGGTTGTAAATTTGTGGTTCATAGGATGCTACTTCTCTATCTTCACACTTGATTGATGGTTTGGCTCAGCGTAGAATTTTATGTTGAAAACAATTCTTTTCAGAATTTTGAAGGTATTACATCATTTCCTTCTAGCATCCAGAATTGTTCTTGAAGTACTATTACACTTTTCCATTAACATGGAAGCTGTCTTCCTTCAATGGCTTAAATGTCACAAAGATGTACCTTGGTGTGGGTATTGGATGAGACACTTAGAATTGTTTTAGTTCTGAGACGTGGTCTTGTGTTGTTAATTCTTTGACAACTTTCTCTGTTTCTCTCTCTAGAAGGACAGTTACTTGAGTATGGTCCTTCCTGGATTGATCCTATAGGTTTCTGACAGGAGTAGATATTTTTCATCTTAATCTTCTTCTTTCTGGGAGATTTCTTAACATACCTTCTAAGCTTTCTTAATGATTTTATTTTTTCATAATTGTATTTTAAAGTTTCTGATAGCTCTTTTATTTTCTTTACATAGCAAACTAGAGATTTTCTTTGTCAGGTGTCCTTTCTTCCTGGCATGGTGTGTGTGTGTGTGTGTGGCCCTGCAGAGATTGCTTATTTTTGTGTATGTTGGGCTTGTTTGTGCTAGAGGCTTCCCTGGGTCCCGGGAGTCCTGGATGCTGCGTTTGCATTTGAGAGAGCGCCACTTAGAGCTGCTGCAGCCTGTGTGTGTGGGGAGACGGACAGCTTATTTTAGAGGGTCCAGCTGGCCGTCGGCCACTTAGTTGGGGGGATCTCCAAAAGACTCAATGGAGACATTTTTCCTCTGGATGTGTTGGTTCTGTAGAAAGTGTTCTTGGATTTCTTTTGGCCAACGTTCTCTGTGAAGGAACAGGGCCTGGCGGTCCTCCCGTGGAGATCCCCCTTTCTCCCTCCACTTGGCACAGAGGTCTGACCTTTTAACCAGCTTGCTTGTTTTCAGCCTCACTCTTCTTCAGCCAAATATGGCATTTTGGGATCCTCTCTTGGATTTTGGGTTCAAGTGTCTCTTTCCTCGCCCATCTCCCTTCTGGCTGCACTGTAGGATGTGGCTTTTTCCTTTCTGCTAAGAGGAACCGCAGTGGACATCTGAGGGGTTACCCTGTGGCCTCATGGCTGCCTTCAGAGGTCATTGGTACCCTGATTCCCCCTCTGAGCATTGTGAGTGAGTAGCCGGCCCAAGGTTGCCCAGCTGGTAGGTGATGGGGTTGGGATTTGAACCCGGGCCATCTGACACCAGTCTGTATCCCATTCATTGCTGCCTAGTACCCTCTCTGTTGAATGGCCCTTTTGCTGATGTCCTCTCTTACTTTCTTTATTTGGTAATCTTTTTAAGTGGATCTTGACGGAGGAGATAAAGGAGAGCATTTATTTACTTTCTTTCCTAGTCAGATTTGAATCTTACCTGAGTCCCTCATAAATGTGTTTCCTTTCTCTTTGACATGGAGCTTGGTGGGGTAAAAAGAGTAGGACTTTTTTTGAGGTTAACAGACTGAAACAGAACCAAATAAAACAACTTCAAAGCAGCTTCATATCACTAATTATTAATAGACTTGCCTAATTTGATCCCAAATTCTAACTTTCAAGTTCTAACATTTTATTTTAAAAACTAGGTCAGAAAAAGAGTGCACGCCAGTATCACGTACAATTCTTTGGTGATGCCCCAGAAAGAGCTTGGATATTTGAGAAGAGCCTTGTAGCTTTTGAAGGAGAAGGACAGTTTGAAAAATTATGCCAGGAAAGTGCCAAGCAGGCACCCACGAAAGCTGAGAAAATTAAGGTGATAGATGTTCCTTAAGTATAATTTTAGACCAAAATAATTTTTACTCTTAATTATTACCTTATTTTGAAATTATGGTTGCTTGATATATTATAATGATTTATGTCTATCATTGTTTGATTTTGCCCAAGTATGCTGTGTTACAGAATACGACAAGTGTCCTTGGAGACCTAGTTTATTCGTTTTACTCATTGGATGATAATCAGATAATTTCTTTTATAATTTTTATTTTTCTTTGTATACATAAAAATACATGAAATGTTATCTCTGATCTATACTATGTAGTGTATATGTTACATTAGTTAAATGGGATTGGAATTGGTTTAAAGAAACAGTTATTACATTGGGCTGAATTCTGTCTAAACCTTCAAGTAAATTGGTTTTTATAGCTTTTGATTTCTAAATTTGTCTGGAATTCTAAAAATATTCTTCTTTAAAGTGGGTTAACTTTTTTGTTTGTATAATGAAATTTACAGTGTCTTATGTTTCTCTTTTCAGCTGTTGAAACCTATTTCAGGGAAATTGAGGGCCCAGTGGGAAACGGGCATCGTTCAAGCAGAAGAAGCTGCAAGCATGTCTGTGGAGGAGCGGAAGGCCAAGTTCACTTTCCTCTACGTGGGGGAGCAGCTTCACCTCAACCCTCACGTAGCTAAGGAGGCAGGCATTCCTGTGGAGGCTCCGCCTCTGGGACCCATGGTAGAGCCCTCAGGAGTCCCCGAGGAAGCTGCTGCTGACCCCAGGTCCATGCGAGAAGAGGGCGTTCCCATCAAGAGAAGGCGGAGAGTGAAGCTGTCTAGCTCTGCCGAAAACCGAGCGGGTGACCCTGGGACAGTACAGAGTACTCCTCAAAAGATGGCAGAGGCCGACCCCAAGAGAGGAGTCGGGTCTCCTCCTGGGAGGAAGAAGGCCACGGCCTCCGCTCCACGAAGCAGAAAGGGAGATGCGGCATCCCAGTTTCTGGTCTTCTGTCAGAAGCACAGGGATGAGGTCGGTACTGTGCCGGGTTCTCAGTTGTGCGTTTATTCTGGGGGTTCCCGAGTTTGGGGAACATCCTTTCAGCGCAGTCCTCCCGTTCCGCGGTGCTCTCAGCACGCTCTGTAGTGAGCTTTGCAGAGGTTTGAGCTGTAATACGGGAGTATTAGGGAACCGCCACTTTCGTCCTGGAGGGCGGAGATGCTTGCCTGTGTGCTCTGGGTTACTAGAACGTCCCTCCCGTTGTGGATGAGGAGACAGCAGGGACAGAAGTATATCGATAGGGCAAGCGTTTGAACACTTTTCTTGATCACCTTCCTGGAATGCGGCATCGGTTAGTACATGGTGATAAGGGCTTGGTTGTAAAGAGCTGAAGGGATTAGACCCCCGGCCTTGGTTATGTTCGATATTACGCGTAGTGATACACGGGTTGGGAGGGGCTTTCCTTAGGAACAGAGAGGTGTAATGGAAGAAAACCGAGTGTGTGACTCACTGTGTTGCAGAATCAGTGATCCACTCGGTAGATGGAGAAAAGGCATTTGATAGAATTCATTGCCCTTTGATACGAAGTTAGCAAGCTGGGATTAGAAGGTAACTTCCTTAATCTGTGGAAGGGTATCAATCAGAAGCTTTCGGCAAGCATCACACTTACTAGTGAAACATTAGAAGCGTTCTCTTTAAAACCGTGAACAAGACAAAAATGCCTTTCCTTACCACTTACGTTAAGTGTTGTAGTGAAAATACTAGCCAGTATAGTAAGGTAAGGACAATAAATAAAAAAGGCATAGTTGTAAAGGAAGAAATAAAGCTGTCATTGTTTGTAGAGGTCTGTGTAGAAAACTTCAGAGAATCTACAGGGGCGCCTGAGTGGTTGTCGGTTAAGCATCCGACTTTGGCTCAGGTCATGACCTCACAGCTTGTGAGTTTGAGCCCCACGTTGGGCTCTGTGCTGTCAGCTCAGAGCCCACTTCAGATGCCCCTCTCCCCGCCCCGGGTGCCACCGAGGTGGAGTAGCACACACATGTGCGTGCTCTCTCTCTCAAAAATATAAAAAAAACATTTAAAAAAATATTTAAAAAAGAAAATCTTCAGAATTGATAAAAGTTCACTAGGACCGGGGTATACAAGAACGTAACAAAGAGGAAATTAACATAAGACAGATACCATTTGAGGCACCTGGCTGGCTCAGTTGGTGGAGCACGTGACCCTTGATCTTGGGTTGTGAGTTTGAGTCCCACCTTGGGTGTAGAGATTACTTAAAAATAAAATCTTACCAAAAAAAAAAGATACCATTTATGACAGCAACAAAAACATAAGGTATCCAAGAAATAAATACAACACACCCCTTTGTTTATAGCAGCATTATCAACAACCGTGGAAAGAGCCCAAATGATGAACGGGTAAAGGGGATGTGGTGTATGTATACAATGGAGTACCACTCAGCCATCAAAAAGAAGGAAATCATGCCATGTGCAGTGATGTGGATGGAGCTAGAGGGCATCATGCTAAGCGAAATCAGTCAGTCTGGGAAAGACAAATACCACATGATTTCACTCATATGTGGAATTTAAGAAGCAAAACAGATGGACACATGGGAAGGGAGGGGAGAGAGGGAAACAAACCACAGGAGACTGTAAGGACAGGGAACACGCTGAGGGTTGACGGAGGGAAGTGGGTGGGGGATGGGCTCGATGGGGGATGGGTAGTACGGAGGGTGCTTGCTGGGATGAGCACCGGGCGTTGTGTGGAAGTGAGGAGTCACTGGATTCTCCTGGAACCGATATTACACTACATATGTTAACTAATGAGAATTATAAATAAAAATTTGAAGGAAAAAAAAATATAACAAAATATGGATGACTTTGGGAAAAATAACTCTTGGTATTTTAGCAGACCTGAATAAATACACACGTTAATATATAGGAAGGTTCCGTATTCTGAAGTTGAGGTTGTCAATTTACCTTATATTAAACTATAAATTCCATATAATCCCAATAAAACTCCCAGTAGGAATTTGTTTGCACTTTGTAAGTGGGTGATGAGTAGCCACGTTGAGGAGAAGCCCGGCCTGAGGACCTGCCCACCACACAGGAGGTTCTGTTGCTTGGGGGCAGTGGTGTCGGCCGGGGATGTTCAGGGCAGTGGCCGCACCCAGAGAAGAACCTGGAAGCAGATGGGGAAGGGGCACGGGCAGCTGGACAGTCTGGACGGGTGCCAGGACCGCCCAGGGCTTTCAGGACTCAGCCGCTGCGGGACAACTTTGTCCTTTGGGAGAGGGGAGGATTTCTTAAGCCAAACCGATCATAGGCCCCTGAGGAGCTACGTTAAAATGAAAGTTTATGTGACAGGGACAACCGGGAACAAAACGGAAGGACAAACTGGGTACAGAGCTCAGACCATTCTGAAGGCTGCGAAAATGGCAATTTCTAGAAGAGCCTGGGCAGCCAGTGCATCCACAGAGAGGTCACTCTGCCTCGCTGGCAGCCAGGGAACCACAGAGGACTGTCCGCGGCTGCCGGGTGAGCGCCCCGGCCCTGCGCCTCGGGAAGGACGGGCAGAGAGAGCCCGCGTCATTCTTTACACTTGGTTTCCAGAGAAATTTGGTGACGTATCACGGAATTGAAGATGCGTGTTTTTTTGTTTTTAAAGTTTTTATTTTAAAAATTTACTTTTTCATTCATTTGAGTAATTCTACACCCAACGTGGGGCTTGAACTCACAATCCTGAGATCAAGAATCACATGCTTTTCCAACTGAGCCAGCCTGATGCCCCGAAGATGCATGTTTTTTCTGTCTTGTAAGGTCACTCCCGGGTACTGACCCTGCAGAAGGTGGCCCACGTGCCCAAGGAGACGGCACGGTGGTTGCAACTGAAAGGTGGCTAAGGGAGGGGCAGGGCTGGCGTGCTCCTGTGGCCGACTCGGGGCGGCGGCGAAGGGGCCGCCGCAAGTCCAGCAGGAGGCCGTCGGCCGAAGGACGTGCAGATCCTGTCACTTGTGGGAAGTGTGAAAAGTGCAGCGTACCCCCCGTTTTACCCACCCATCTGCCTCATCTGTCCCCGAAGAGCAGCGTCTCGGAGCGGAGAAGTCGGCCCAGGGAGGAGCCGCGGCCTCTGTCGGACTGGAAGCGGTACGGGGCGCTGAGCGGCGTGGACGGTCCCCACCGGGCCCCCGGTTGTGGCTGCCGCGCAGCTGCGTGCTCTGGGAAGCAGGGCAGGGCTCTCGACCAGAGCCAGCCAGCCAGCCACACTCCCGTCTGTCTGTCCCTGGTCTCTCCGCGCATCTGAAATTACGAGAGAAAAGCGGGTGCCCGAGAATTCAAACCGCTTTCCCGAGACCACCCTTTCTGCCTTTGGGGACCCATCCTGCTCTCAGGATGGCCTTTCTAGTACTAAGGAAAGTGCCAAGAGCAAACCGAAGCCTCTCACTCCAGACACTGCGTGTGTGAGGTGCTGGGCACCCGCGGAGTCGCTCAGCTCCGAGCGCCTCTCCAGAGCACGTGACGCACAGGTTTGCCGTGGCGTCCTGCTCAATGCAGAAGCCAAAACTGAAGGGTGCCCGATGAAGCTTCAGTTCACATTCAAGACAGGTGCCCTACCCTGCCCTGCCTGTGCCCAGTCTCTGTTGGGGATGGGGTATGAGGCCCATGGGCCCCTTCCCTCCCACCTGGGTGCAGGTGTTGCTTGGTTTGGGGTGATTATCGTCGTCAGAAGAGTGATGACGCCTTGGATGTTCTTTAACCGTTTCAGCGACTTTGTTGTTAATACAAGTGTGTTTGTGCTGGTTCTGTGATAAGTAATTTAGGCTTGAATTGGGGAGGCTGCTCTCCGATTCACCCTGGAAAATGATCTGGGTCTGTCTAGGTGGTTTTTTCTTTTTGAGGGGTGACGGTGACTCCAAGGATGGTTTTTGTTTGGTAGTTAGTTGATGAATCATGGCCAACTCTTGAGGAACAGAGTTGGATGAAGCCTTCCCTCTGCTTCCTGCCCCCTTTTCCGGGGTCACTAGATAGAAGACTGTGACTCTCAGGGATATTTGGCTGCTACCCGCGGGCTTTTGTTTTGAAGTTCAAGTTCCTTCTTGCAAACGAAGGAGAATATTCTGCCTTGTGAAGTGGGTTGAGTTCTTCATTAACGTGCTTTGCTTGGTTCTGTCTGTCCAGCAGGCTCAGCTCACAAGTGTCTGTTGTGGCGTCCCTGGAGCACAGTGATGGGGCTGCAGTGGGGGTGGTGAATAGTTTGCCGGGAGACAGAGCCCGCAGTGGGATGGAGTCCTGCTGATGAGGGCCTGGGCGGGGGTGGGGGTGGGGGGGACTTTGCAGGCAAGGAAGGGAGAGCAGCTGGGGGAGCCCCACTGTGACGAAAATCCCAGGAAGGATCTCCCAGAGGCTCCAGCATCAGTAGCATTGTCATTGGTTACTGATGTGTATGGTCTCAGTTTCCAAGTTTTAAAGAATCTGTTTCACCTTCCCTGATCCCAGTTTTTATCGATGTGATATAAGCAAACCGTGCTTCATGTCTTTCTTCTTTGTACAAACGTTCGCGGTAGTTATGTAGTATCGCATAACACATTGCCTCAGAACCTAGTGGCTTAAAACAACAACACGCATAGGGACGTCTGGGTGGCTCAGTCGGTTGAACGTCCGACTTTGATCTTGGCTCAGGTCTTGATCTCAGGACGGTGAGTTCAGGCCCCACGTCGGGCTCCGCACTGGGTGTGAAGCCGGCCTGAAAACCGCCACCACCATCACCACCACCACCACCACCACCAGCACACGTGGATCCGCCCACAGTGTCTGCAGGTCGGGGGTTTGGGAGCAGCTCAGTGGTTCCGGCTCAGGGTGTCCCGTGAGGTCACAGTTAAGAGGGGGGCTGGGGCTGGGGGATGGTCTTCCGAGGTGCTGCACTGATGGCGCCTGCAGGAGGCCTCAGCGCGTGGTCCTGTCCGTGGGGTGGCACCGAGGCAGGCTTCTTGTGGAACGGGTGATCCTGGAGGGCAGGGCGACGTCTTCTGGAAGTTCAGACTTGAAAGCCGGTGGGCTGCCTGTCTACACTGTGCGTTGGCTACACTGGCAGTGCCACTCAGCAGGGAGGCGGGAGTCCTGGCAGCGGCTCCCGGGGCCCCTCGGAGGGTGGCGCCGTGACCATCCCAGGAGTCTAGAAGGCGGCACAAAGGTCTGAACGGGTGCGTGAGCAGACAGGTGGGCCGGGGGCAGGGAGTGCGAACCCCGAGGGGTGCGCGGAATCTTTGTTCCGGTGTCGTTGAGTCAGCGCAGTGGGTGAGCTTGGGGGTATTCAGCTTTCTGTGCCTTTTTGTGTGTCCAAAGTAGTTTATTGAAAGTGTGGGAGTGGCCACCGCTGAGTGCTTGCCATCTGTGAGGAATGTGGCTGGTACGCCACTGTGACGACCGTCGTATTTATTGTTTTTAAGTTTATTTCTTTTGAGAGAGACATGGTGCGCACGAGCGGGGGAGGGGCAGAGAGGGAGAAAGAGGATCCCAAGCGGGGATCCCCAGGTGGGGCTCCAGCTCATGAACCGTGAGATCCTGATCTGAACTGAGCCACCCAGGCTCTCCTGGAAAAAATCATGTTCAGTTGTCACGAAGGCCTTTTGAGGCTGGCACAAGTTATCCCCGTTTCAGGGCTGGCTACGCTGAACCCAGACATGTAAAGTGACCGTCCTCTGCCAGTGGGGGGACGCAGGCAGGAAGGAGGAGTGGGACTTGGCCCTAAGTGTGTGCGTGTGTGCACGCTGAACGTGCAGCCGTTGTGCTGCACAAGTGCGTTGATGAGACCCCGCAGACCTTCCTGGGCAGCCGCTGCTTCCTGAACCTGAGATGCGGGAGGGAGACCCTGAGGCCCTGGCCAGAGTCTGGGTGGGCGACCGGGGTGAAAAAGTGAGGTGAGTGCTGTAGGTGGGGTGGTGGCTGCCACGACACTATTTCCTGTCCCCTAGCTCCGGATGCTGCCGGAAGGCAGGCAGGCAGGCAGGCAGGCAGGCAGCGTTGTAGCTGAAGGACGCTCCAAAGTCAGCCTGATGGAAGATAATGTTTCTGAGAGGGAAGGGCCTGTGGAGAGACAGAGCCATCATGTCCCCGAGTGCAGAGTTGTCCGGGGAGGGATGAGAGGAGGGTGAGGATGGGCTCCAGGTTCTGAGGGGCCATGGAAGACATTGTCCGTTGGCAGGGGCTCTACCCTACATGTGGGCCAGGCCATGGTCCCTCTTGGTGCAAGAGGGAGACCTCTTAGGGTGGGAATGTCAGCAGGTAGATGGATAGGACCAAGAGCCAGGAAACCGGTGGCTGAAACCATAGCCATCCAGGTGGGGTGGGTGCAGAGGCATCCGGGAGAGGGGCTGGCCGGCCCGGCAGGGATATGGGTGCAGGGGGGGAAGGGTTCCTCAAGGAGGAGTGGGGAATCTTGTTTGACGGGGGGCGGGGGGTGGTGGCTGTAAACACTGTTAGGATTAATTCTGATTGAGGATATTGTACTCAGGGGTGGGTGATAGGGTGGGGGGTCCACAAATGCATGTGCTGATCTTGAGGAATCTTCAAGAGGAGAGTTCTAGAAGGCAAGCGTCCTGTGAGTCTGAGCCGTGCACAGAAGCCTCTGCCGCTTGAAGGTCTGAGACCTTTGGTGCTTGAAGCGTGGGGGTTGGTGAGCTCATCCCTCAGGCTGGGCGGGCGGGACAGAAGCCTGCCGGCCCCTGGGCCGAGGGAGCCCCCAAGGTGAGAGGGGAGGGCAGGTGTGTGGGGGGCCGCGGCGGGGGCAGGGTGGGGATGGGGACAGTTCCCACGGGGCACCGGGGCTGGACTTGTGGTTGCCAGAGGCGCCCTGTGATGGGAGGGCACAGAGGGCCGGGTGGCTGTGCACCCACACGTGGAGGTGCACGTGCTCCGAGGTCCAAGGCTGGGGGAGCCGGAGGCGTGCCGGGACGTGGGGACGAGTGGGGGACACGGGAGGCTGTAGGAAGCCGACTGTGGTGACCGTGGTGTGAGTGGGGGCTGCGTTTTGGGGCAGACGCGGCCCGTGGTGGCCGGACAGGCGGGAGATCGGGGTGGCCGCATCGCAGAGGACGACACCGCACCTCTGCTCACCCGAGTTTGCGGAGCTGCGAGTGCAGGCGCCACATGCCGACTGGGGTCTCGCTCCAGAGCGTTCTGGCCAGTGCTCAGAATCAGGCAGCAGGCCTTCAAAGGGGCTCCGCCGGGGCCGGAAGGCGGCCCTGGGAGGCCGGCCGGGGGTGCCTGGGGCCAAATTCCGGTAAGACCAGATAGGAGCACTGATACCCGAGCTTCCTGTAATTGTCACGAGCTACGAAGTGTTCTTCTTCCCCACCATTTAGAAGTGTAAAATCAATTCCTGGTTCATAGACCACACAGAGGACAGCAGGTGGGGCTCGCTTGGCCTGCAGGCCGCGATTTGTCAGCCTCTGCGCCTCTGCTGCTGGTGGCTCTCCAGCTTGGGAGCCCTCACAGCAGCCACGTCAGGCCCAGAGCGTGACCCGGCCTCGGTGTGGCCTGAGCACCAGAGGTTTTCCAACTCCCCAGGTTGTTAGCGTTCAGCCAAGGCCACGGGCCCAGGAATCAGGCTTCAGGGTACCTGATCAGGGTACTCTGGGTCCCCCGGAGACCTTGGGGAAGGCTGGGGTGGGGCCCGAGGCCCGCATTTCTGGCCTGCTTCTGGGGCGCTGGCGCAGGCAGCCCTGCACGGCTGGAGGGCCGTGTCTGTGTGCCGACCCGGGCGGTGATGGGGCCTGGTGCTCCTGCCTTGTCCCCTGTGTCATCCATCCAGGCCACGCGCCCGAGTCATGGGTCATGGAAAGCCAAGCCAAGCCTCCGCCCCCCCCGTGTTGACAGGTAGCGCTCGCGGGGCACTTTTCCCACTGCTGACTTGTCAGGGATGCGTAGAAAATTGTAACTTACTAATACTTTAGTGATTTGGGGAAAGTATGTATTTTCCTCTTGCCATTTATTATTTCCTGAGTTGTCATAAGTTCCGTTGACTTGTTTTCACCACGCTGCTTTTATTTATAAACTTCTGACGAGTTATAGCAGCAGATCCTCACTAATTCTCTTTGAAGCTTTTGTGGGGTACAGCTCCGTGACGCGGGGGTAAGTGTGCCACGTGCTGGGTTCTCGGGGGCCGTGCCTGGACTTGGTGCGGACGGACCCCCAGTGGGCTGCAGGTGTGTGGTTTTCTCACCCCGCCCTTGCTGTGCCCGCAGGTGGTCGCAGAGCACCCGGACGCCTCGGCCGAGGAGGTCAAAGAGCTGCTCGGCTCCCAGTGGGACATGCTCAACGAGAAGCAGAAGGCGCGCTATAACACCAAGTTTGCCCTCGTGGCCTCTCCCCAGTCTGAAGAAGACTCCGGTAAACCTAGAGCCGAGCGAGTGCGCTCTGCTGAGGTGTGCGGTGTGCGTAGTGGGGCCGGCCGAGCCCCGGTCTGGGAGCCCGGGGGCGGCGGGGCCGCCCTCCCCAGCCCTGCCCCTGCTGCCCGTGCCGGCAGCCAGGGTGCGTGTGGGCGCGATCAAGCCACCTCCGCTGTCTGCGGCTCCTCCCTCATCGTCGCACGAGAGCTGTTCGGTGTCACCCTCTGTGTGGCCTCGGGCCCCTCGCTCTTGTGCCCGAGCGCAGCGGGCGCTCTAACCCCTGCAGCCGGCGGGGCGGTGTAGGGGAGGACACCCAAAGGAAGGGGGCCCGGGCTTACGTGGCATGGTAGAGTCCGACCGTGGCCTGTGGCCCCCTGGCGAGGCTGCCCTCCCAGCAGGGGCTGTGCCTGCCCCTCGCAAGGGGCTTTGCCCCTACAGGCAGGGGGGCCTTCCTGATCTCTTTGCTGGAGAGCTCGCAGGGTGAGGAAGGTGACTGTGGACTGACCTTAAATGTGGGTGACCTCTGGTTTTTCACAGGCCTTCAGTTTAAATATCAAAAAAATGCTATTTTGCTTTGGTGAACGGAAAGAGAAGGGAGACTTAACACTGTGAGCTTTTGGAGGAACCGTGACGATGGTCAGATTTGTCATCTGTGCGTGCTTGGACACGTGTTGTGGAAAACCGACGTTTCTAACGTAAAAAATAAGCGTGATGGGTTGGTTATCAGTTTAAATACAGAACAGTTCTGTACCTCAAGGTTCAGCCCTGAAGAGCTTTGGAGAGCCCAGATGTAAAGTGTTCGAAGACCCCCTAGAGGGGGGCGAGAGCCAGAAGGAGTCGCACTGCCCTCGTGTGCACCTGCTCGTGCTTCTGGACCAGCACTGGTGCATCTGACCAATTGCACACGCACTAGAGACCTTTCTGTTTCGTTCACGGAGGATCTTGATTCTAGGGCCTCTGGGTCTCCACGTCGACTCTCTCATATGTTAATACTGACTTTGTCCAGTTCAGGATTTGTTGCAAATGCTGTCAGGTAGACTAGTAAGCATATTTTGGATTCGTGTACTTTCTTTTTTTAATTTTTTTTTTTAACGTTTATTTATTTTTGAGACAGAGAGAGACAGAGCATGAACGGGGGAGGGTCAGAGAGAGAGAGGGAGACACAGAATCTGAAACAGGCTCCAGGCTCCGAGCCATCAGCACAGAGCCCGACGCGGGGCTCGAACTCACGGACCGCGAGATCGTGACCTGAGCCGAAGTCGGACGCTTAACCGACTGAGCCACCCAGGCGCCCCTTGTGCACTTTCTTTATTTAAAAAAATTTTTTTTTTCAATGTTTATTTATTTTTGGAACAGAGAGAGACAGAGCATGAACGGGGAGGGGCAGAGAGAGAGGGAGACACAGAATCGGAAACAGGCTCCAGGCTCCGAGCCATCAGCCCAGAGCCTGACGCGGGGCTCAAACTCACGGACCGCGAGATCGTGACCTGGCTGAAGTCGGACGCTTAACCGACTGCGCCACCCAGGCGCCCCGTTCGTGCACTTTCTTTAAAAGGCAAAAGATCACCTGACTAGGAGTGTCCCTTTTCAATGACTGGCTTACTTAAGAAGGAGTCGGGTTTTCCTGAAGCCAGATTTAACTACCCTTGGAGTAAGTGTGCAGGTGGTTGTGGGTCACGTGTGGTCACTTGGGACGGCTACCGAGTGCTTAGACAGGGGGACAGGGCTGGTCTCCTCCGTGTGTGTGTCCAGTGTGTGCTTGTCCTGGGGGCCCTCCGGCCTCCCCATCGGGGCCCCCGTGCCGGTGACCAAGATGGCGGGCGGACTGTGTTTGTGGGACAAGCTGTGCCACGGCCTCAGTGTGAGGAAGTCAGGCAGGTGCCCACGTTGCTTACCTGTGTACGAAGCCCCTGCTGTGTCATTTCGGGCCCAGGGGACGTCTTCCGCGAGGACTGCGGCCCCACCTCACCTGTGTGAAGGTGAGCCGCCGGATGGTGGCTGCTGCTAGCGGGTGTCTGTGGCTCAGTGGACACGTGCGAGGAGGGTGGGCAACGCCGGGCGGTGGAGGCTGCGGCAGGCCGGGCTGGCGGCGCCCTGTGCCGGTTGCGTGTGGACGGCCTCCTAGCAGCCGCCACCGCCCCACGGTGGGCACACCTCTCCTGTGCCGCCACGGCAGCCCACGGTGCTGTGGCCGGGAGCCCACGGGACTGTCCGGCCGCTCAGCTCTGTGCTCGTGTCTGCCCCGGCCGGGGTGACCTCCTGCTGGGCGCCACACTCCTGGCCCGAGGGCTCTGTCCCGCCTGGTAGGAAGGTTTGAGGACAGCGCTGCCCTCCCACGGGATGTTTTTCCTGGACAGTCCAGGGGTAAGCCCTGCACCTCTGTAAGAGAGTCGTGCAAACGGAAACGCTGGGTTTGTGTTTGAAATAAACATCGGCGTGTTCAAATTAATCACCTCTCTAGAATTTGCACTGCGAATTCTTTCTGCACCGTAAGATTACCTTATGTCTCACTTTTCTAGGTCAGTACTGTTTGAACACGTTAAGACTTGGATTAGTTGATATTCCTGGAAACACCTAATTGGCACAAACCACTGGTAGAAAACCCTTAGTCTGCAGACACCGCAGCCGTGTTGCTGCTACCCAACATGCTTCTTTAAGGAAATGTATAAAAAGTAGCAAGTTGTGTCCTTTCTAAAGTTCCGCTTAAATTCCTCCATCTTTGAGTGTTAGTAAACTCCTGGGTTATATTTACATTTAATGCTCTAGTACGTTAAAATGTTATTATGAGAAATACCAATATAATAATCTGTAGATGAGATAAGCGTTCTCCAGTATTCGATGTTACGTGTGCAGAATGCAGAGAGGTTTGGCCCTTAATTCTCGGGCCCTGGGAACCGACGGCCCTGCAGGAGACCCTCCTGGGCTGGGTTGGTGCACGCGTGCCCCGGCTGGGGGAGCGATGCTTTGGAGGGTGGCTCGTGGAGTGCTTTTCACGTCAGTTTCGCCCGTTCTCTGTTCCAAGGTAACGTAAATGGGAAAAAAAGAAGCCATACCAAGAGGACACAGGACCCTCCTGAAGACGTTGAAATTGAAGACGCACCCAGGAAAAGACTCAGGACCGACAAGCACGGTCTCCGGAAGGTAACTGCACCCCGGGTTTGTCCAGGCTGGAGGACTGTGGCCCTCCCGTGTGACTCTTCAGCGGATGCCTGTGGGAGGCAGGAGGCCTTCCTCTGGGCTGGTGCTCAGTGGGTGTCGAACGTGCATCAGGGGGCCGAGTCTGCCTGGCCAGGGTCCACATAGCTGGAGAGACGGCGGATTCTCCCACCTGGCATATGGTGCTCATGCTTGCAGGGAGCGTGAGCCTTTTCCAATGTGCTTTATGACTCAGTGTCATTTATGGAAACTGTCTCACACGTCCAGTGAGCTTCTCCATGAACCAGGAGCGTAAACAGGCTTTGCATCTTTAAATTTTTTTTTTTTTTTTTTTAACGTTTATTCATTTTTGAGACAGAGAGAGACAGAGCATGAATGGGGGAAGGTCAGAGAGAGGGAGACACAGAATCTGAAACAGGCTCCAGGCTCTGAGCCGTCAGCACAGAGCCCAACGCGGGGCTCGAACTCACGGACTGCGAGATGGTGACCTGAGCCGAAGTCGGACGCCCGACCGACCGAGCCACCCAGGCGCCCCAACAGGCTTTGCATCTTATGTCTTAGTGTAAAGCTGTTTAGCGATAGTTCTGACAGAGTAGTTGTGTACTTACGGTTTTGAGTAAAGCCTCATACCATCTTCTAACCTAAGTTAAGAGGCTCCTTTATTGTTTCGCTGTATTTTTGGAATGGAAAATGAATTCTGCATGTCGTTGAAGCGTAAATATGCGGCCACCACATCTTCTGTCTTCTTTCTCTTTTTTGAACGTTAAAAAAAAATTGTTTATGTATTTATTTTGAGAGAGAGGGAGAGAGCCCCAAGCAGGCTCCAGCCATCAGCGTAGAGCCCAGCACGGGACTGGATCCCACGGACCGCAAGGTTACGACCTGAGCTGAAACCAAGAGTCGGACACTCAACCGACTGAGCCACGCGGGCGCCCCCGTTACTTCAAAGCTGCTTTTGCGGTTCAGGGGGCACACGGGCCCTGCCCAGTGTTTCTGGCCACCAGGGCCTCTTCTGGGGCACCTGTCAAGTGTCCAGTGCTGAGATAGGTAATGTTCACCTTGAGTCGCTGCACTGCGTGTGGTGACTGTGCCCTCTGGCCACCTGGTGTTAGAGCAGTCCTTTGCTGGCAATCGTAGTGACCTCGGTTGCTTTGAAATATTTGCATTTCATATTTACCTTAAAAAAATGTGTGGCCCTGGACATTTGAAATATCAAAACTCACATTAAGTAGCTAGGTAGAAATGTTTGATTAGCTGATAGCTCAGGAAATAGCAAACAGAGTAGTGGTGTCTCCTCGGGCTTAGTTATCAATCTGAGTAAGCGCGTCCTACAGGATTCCCAACACGCGGAGCCCTGGATGTGCCAGGTGCCGCCCCGTGCCGTGCGCCTGTTCCCTTTTGCACAGTCCTGTGACCCGGTCCCCTGGAGCTGTCGGGAGAGGTTGTCTACACCTGCTTCTGGTTCCAAGTGCTGGGCAAAAACGGTCCCGGTACCGTGTTTTTGGGTGGAGTCTCTCGGTGGTGAAACGTGCTTTGCGGATGACCTTTGTGAAGTTCACCTGGAGCTGGTCTCCGAGTCGGGGCCCCTCCGAGTGGGGGGTCAGCACGGCGACATTGGCACTGACCCGGGGCCCCTTCAGGTTCACGGGACAGACTGGGGGGCGGACCCCCAACTCCACTTTGAATTCAGAGGCAGATTTGAGTAGCACATCGAATGCCGCTCACGTGAAGAGTCTCGGCAGCATGACCGTTAGGTCGTGAGGCGCAGCCCCGCTGGCCCCCTTGTCCCAGCAGATGGCAGAGTGGAGAGGGGTGAGGCGGGGTCCCCCTCCTGGCGCGCGTGGAGCCCATCTCCAGAGGAAGACCTTTCTGTCGCACGTTTCGGCAACCCATGTCGGTTCACGTCAGCTTTCTTCCCTTCCTCTTGTTCTCCTGTTTCTTTTGTTTAACAACAGAGAGAGACGGCGAGTGACAAGATGGCCCGAACAGGTTCTTGCAAGGCCATGGAGGCCGCCACCTCGCTGAAGAGCCAGGCAGGTAATGTGGGCATTAGCGCTTCTTCCTTGTTGGCAGGCCCTTCCAGGCGCCTGGTGGGCTGCAGGTGGACGGACGGGGAGCTGGGCTGGGCCAGGGTCCGGGGAGCCGGGGGCTCTGACGCCCCAGGGTCCAAGGATAAGGTGGAGGGACGTTCTCGCGCAGCTGAAAGATCAGCTGCTCGAATGTGTAAGTTGTTGTAATGATCCAGCTACGTTTTATTGAAGTTATTTTTCTACTGATTTCTGTTGGGCTTTATTTTCAGTTTAAAATGATACTAGAAAAGTTCCTTAAACCAGGAACATCCGTGTTTCTAACTTGCTGGTGCCAGCTGCTGCTATAGATTCCACCCCTTTTTAGGAGCCGATCCTTCACTTACTGTATTAGCGGAAGTAAAAGTAGTGACTGGTTATTTCCCTTTCACGCGTTGAAAACTGGCTTTGAATGTTTGTGAAAAGTAACCGTCAAAAGAACGAAGGGGGAGTCGGGCCGCCTTCCCTTCTCACTGTCGTTTTATCGTATCTGATAGTTTATCACGGGGGGCTTACCATCTCCAGCTTGTACCTAGGGAAGGAAACATTCACGGGAGGAGCGAGGGTTGGAAATGGATTCATTTCCCTTATTTTGCAGCAAGTGCTGTGCTGGTTTTTAAAACTCGGTTAAATAGACTGTTGGAAGGAAGACGTTTACGGGCAGTTTGAACACTGAGTGGATATTTGAGGATACGAAGGGATCGAGTGTTACTTTTAAGAATGGTGTCGCAGTATTGCGCTTGTATTTGAGACTTTGTCTCAGAGACACGTACTGAGCTTTTTACAGGTGAAACGGGGTGTGGAATGTACACCAGAAGAACGTGGCCAGGGGGACGTGAAACTAGGCGTGGATGGAGCCTTCTGGGCCCCAGGTTGATGTATTCGGGGGCCAGGCAGGGGGACACTGGGGCTCACTGTACAGTCTGCCCTTGTTTAGAGTGAGGTTTTTTCGCGGTAAAAAGTTAAGCCTTTAGTGTCACAAAGCGGCCCGGGAAATTTATCTTTAGAACCTCACTTACCAGGGGGGTGGTTTTAAAGCAGGAAAGAAGGAGACGGAGGGCGGAAGCCTTCAAATTTTACCCTATAAACCAAAATTGTCTTACAGCAACGAAACACCTGTCTGACGCATGCAAACCACTGAAGAAGCGAAATCGGGCGTCTGCAGCAGCGTCGTGCGCTCCTTTTAGCAAAAGTTCATCTCCTTCTGCGTCCCTAACTGAGAATGAGGTAAAATCATAATCCTAGCGTTAACTGGCGTTCACGTGAAGGCCATTTAGTTGCCCGGGTGGAAGCACCAGTGAGTCAGACTTGACACGCGTGACACTGGTGTTGGCCACAGGCGAACGTAGGTGAGTCTCAGGCCATTTAAACTCTGGGCGAGTCGGAGGCGGAAGAAGTGACGACTTCAGCCTCCGGGAGCGCCACAGACACGCATGCACGCAGAGTACGCACGGGCGGGCGTGCACGTGCTCGGGTCTGGACGTAGTGCAGTTGTTCTCACAGTCTGTCTCTGGAACGTTGTGCTCCGTGTAGCCCTCACATTGTAACCTGGCCCGCGTCACCGCAAGCCCGCTCCGGCCCTGGCACGACGCGCCGTGTCACTCGAGCTGACCCTGGCCGTCGTGCACTCACCCACCTCAGGCGGGAAGAAGGGCGGCTCACCTGCCGTGGCGCCTTTCAGCGGCTTTTGGACCTGGGCTCACGGAGGAGTGTCCTCCCGCGTTCCCTGGTTTTGGTCCTTTAAAGTCTGGCATATTCTTAGGTACTTGAGTGTGGAGGTGAGTCACAACTACCATGGTAATACGACTCCTCTATTTTCTGGATTTGCAGAACACACAGAAGCAGAGTGACAGCTCTCTGAGGCTGTTCCCACCCTTGTATCATGACATCTGGACTTCGTCATCAAATCTAAAGTCTTTGCCACTCTAAAACCAAAACCAAAAAACAGCCTCAGAATGCAAGCGTAGCACTTTTTGTCCAGAGGGGGCTCTGGATTCCCGATTCTAGTGACTACCCGAGGAGCTTCTATTCCAGTTTTAATTCCTTGTTGTTTTGTTTCCTGGGGGCCTCTCGTCCTCACTGCAGACAGGAGGCCTGTTTTTAGAACATTTATGAGGACTTGCTAACTTTGGGCTTTTTCGAACAAGGTAGTAGCCCCTCGCCCTGTTGGGTGACAAGGTGGCCCTTGTGACCCGGCCCCTGCCACGGTCACTGTCTCTCAGCCTCGGCTGCTTCCTCCCTTTAGACGAGGGGGCCCTTCCCCTGTGAGGTGTCCTCGGGGGCCCAGGCAGCGGGCAGTCTGATGGGGTGCGGGTGCAGAGAGCCACCCGGAGAGGGGTCTTCTCTGGGGACTCAACACCAGTAGCGGTGGGGGCTACTCACGTGCGCGGGACTGGAACTTTCTTGCCATCTGATGTGCGCAGGGGACTAGACCTCTCTTCTGTTCAGGCACGTTCACGAAAATGCAGTAGGCACTCACTAACCTTCCAGGGGGCTTATTGAAACGTGGAAGAGACCAATTCTATACAGATTTTTTTTCCTTTTTCCTTTTTTCTTGTCGGAATTCTGATTAGTATCGTAAAGAATTTTTAAAAATGAGGATTCCCATCCCAAAGAAAAAGAATGCTAAAAATAAAAAGTTTCAGGTCCGTAGATCCCTTTTGCTTCAAGTCGGCTTTTATATGTAAAAAGGTTTTTAATGGGGTTTTTTTTTTTTTTTTTTTCTGTCATCGCATTCTGATCCACCATTCAGTTGAGTTTTTACTTACACCCTCGTCAGATCCAATCAAAGGCAAGGCGCTGAGGCTGCTGAAATCTTCTCTGTCATTCCTGGTCAGAAGCTGTACAAGTCAGAGGCCTGGGCTCAGGGGCCCCCCGGCCCAGAGGGCGGGCCGCGCCGCGGGGGGGGGTGGGGGGGTGGGAGGTGGGGGCGGGGAGCGGAGGGTGGTTAGGGTCGGGCAGCCTGACTCTCGTTGTAACCAGGGTGAGCATGGTCTTCCCGGTTTAGACGTTTGTTCTGAACTCGGGGAGACTTAGAGGAAGCATTTTATAATCAGTAGACTTAACTGATTCTTAATTCTTTGGAACTTTAGAAGTGGTTAGTTTATTAATTATGTTTATATTCTATATTAACTACATTATAATCCTATACCTTCCTGCATTTTGAAGGTGATACATAGTTCCCATCACGTGCGTTCAGCTCCTTATACAACAACGTTTAAACCACCAGGCCTTTGATGTCAGGCCACTTCTGCGTGGCTTGCAGAAGCCTTCCATTAGAGTTAATTTTCACAGGATTACGTTGTTCATTAAAACCACTTCGGGTGAACGAAAAGCCTTGTCTCTTATGTGTTGACGCTCCAGAGCCACAGCACGCGTTCACGGCGTATTTGTGCTGGCCGCCTTCGGGAGCAGGAGGCGCAGTGCGCGTTACAGAAGCACCGTGCAGACCTGGTCCGGGGGCGCAGGGAGTCAGGCCCCGTGGGGCTGCGGTCTGCGCTGACCGGCCCTTCCTCGGGCCACGCACCCATTGCTGTTTCTCCTTCCTACTTTTGTCACCCACCCTTGATTGGAATAAGGGCTTGCCACAGAGCTGGTGTTTCAAGATCTCTTAGGTCACTCGTGGTTTAAACTTTTCTCGAAAAAGGTAAACGTGGGAAATAAGACTTATGTCGGAAGGACTGCTACCAAGTGCTTCGTTGCCCTGATGGTGAAGAGAATAGACGGAGATCGCACGCTTGCGCGACAAAGGCCTGTGAGGCAGTGGCTGTGACTTGAGTGTCTTGTAACCTCGTTTCTTATTCCCTTAGTAGAGCAAATTCTTATCTTTTTCGCCTTCGCTGGTAACAGCTTTTACGGGAGCCCACATCAGCCAAGTTGGATGTGAACCCAGCTGCCCCGTACCGCACTTAAATGCTGGAATATTCCAGATGCCTGCTGCAGGTGGCACGTCCACGCACTCACTCAGTGACACTCGTACCCCAGTCATTTTATGGAAGATGTGCGATAATCTGTTTTCACTGGTATTAATAACACACACAATGAAGAGAACAGATAACAAATTTTAAGACCAAGGTAAGATGCCCAGGCAAGGCCATTTACCCGATCCCGCTCATCTCACGATAGAGGCACACTCCTCCCGCAGCGGTCCGTGTAGATGTCAGGCCGAAGGGACGCCCGCCACACGGGGCTGCCCTGGGCCTGCGACGAGGACGCCACGCCGAAGGGGCTGGCCTTGCTCGAGGCCACCCTCGTCCTCTGGCTCATGACTTACCGAGTCTGTACCGAACACTGCCGGTGCCCGCACCGCTGGAAAGAGAGCGAGCCGCACACAGTAGGAGGAGCCCGCGTCAGCTGCCCCGTTGCCAGCTGGAATGCACTCAGCACTGTAGACACGAAACCGCTTTCCAACACCGAAGGCAGGAAGGGTTTCGATTCTGTCCTTTTTTTACTACACAGTTTTACTATGACACTAGACACAGTGAATTTGTAGGAAGAATCTCATTTTCAGTATCATACGAGCCATTTAACTCTTTTGATGCAGCGACCAGTATCTTGGGGGTACCTCGATCAGGTTATTTACAACCACAGCTTAATCGGTTGCTTTTGTAGGACGTCAGCTGTCACATTAAATGACTGAGTGTTGGGTGTCGCCCGCTGTCCTACCCCGGGGCGTCCGCATGCCTGCATGGAGGGGCACAGGCCACACTTGCCCCTCAGCTCCCGGAGGCAGGACTGCTGTTGACGTTACCGTGTTAGGAGCCCTCGGTCATTCCCAGCACACTCTTCACACGCGTTCTACCTTTAATGGAAGTTTCTGACTAATACTTGTGTTCTAACCGTTAAGTACTGTAACGCATGTAAAACACTTGGGGTACCTGACGCCTTGCAGGGACTCGGTGGTTCGCTATTGTGACAATAATGGTTATAACAATAAAAACAATAAAATCTCCATCATTCCATTTTTATCCCAAAGTATAAATTCTGCTCTGGCATGAAGAGCTCTCCTCCTGCCTGCCCCGTGCACGTGGGGGTCGAGTGGCAGACGCTGGGTCTGAGAAGCACGGCCGGGCGCTAGACTGTGGCTGAGCGCCGGGCGGGTGGCTCTGCTCGGACGCGGCGGGAGGCCCGGACGTGAGTGTGGGCAGGGCTGGCGGAGAACTAGTTACGAAATTGGAAAGTGCGAAGGAAGGTCGTGTAGGAGTGGCCCGGGTCAGGAAACTGTCGCAAGCAGGGTCGAGCCCGTTTGAAACTGTAGCGCGGTGACTTTTGCGTAGGTGGCCGGCCGGCTCCCAGCCCGGGCCGGGGGCACCAGAAGTCAGCCGGAGAGCGGGGGCTTTCCTCCCCGTTGAGGCACCTGCCGGGATGACGGGCCCATATGTCCGCTGAGTGGCGTCAGCCGAGGACACAGGAGGGTGTGGGGTGGGGCAGGGATGGGGGTCACGCGGTGTTCCTCCACCGGGGAAGGCACCGCCCCCCACCCCCGCCCCGAGGATGTCGGGAAGTGACCGGGCGGCCGACCAGGCAGTGGCAGGTGTGTTCAGCTCCTGCAGGAGGCAGACGGTCCCGCGTGGGGCAGAGCCGTCCCGCTCCAGATGGCAGCAGCGGTCCTGCTGGGGAACGCTCCCACCCGCGGCTCTTCCTGAAGGTGAGTGGACAGGGCTCCTGTTCTGAAAAGAGCTTAGGAGGCAAGGAAGGTTGTCTGCCACGATACACATCCATTATGCTACTAACCGCACATAAATTCCCTCATTTCGTAAAGAGATCAGGACAACACCGAACACGTTCTAGTCTTGCCGTTTGAGCCGCTTGTTGTGGAGGTGACTGTTCTCGTACATAGAACCGCGGTTAACGGCCCACTTAATGGCTGCAGGCCATCTTCCTGCCCCACGCTGGTGCCTGGTCAGGGGCGGTAGCTACGAGAAGGAGCGCAAGGCATTCGGAAGAGGTGAAACCTGTCGGAACAGATAAAAGTTGAGGTGGTCGCTGTTCTGAGACTGGAAGTTTCCCGCAATGATAGAGGTCCCGTGAAGTATGTGCACCTATCGGCAGTAGAGGTTCCCGTTCTGTTGATGCACCTGTTAGGGGCCTCTGTCTCCCATGTGGGCCTCCCTCCAGAGCTAATACAAGAGTTAAACGTCCGCCTCTGATGGTGATGGGTTTGGGTGCATCTCCACACCCTCTTTGTAATTGTGTCTGTTACATCTCTGTCTCCCGACGGAAAATAACCCATTTTTTTCAAGAGGGAGCTAGCTCCTAAAAACCAACAGGAGATGTAGGCCAGATCTCATGACAAGGATGCTCCGTGTGGTGAACGGAACCCGCACGGTGCACGGACGAGTCTTGTCTGTCCCGCCCTCCAGGAAGGGGTTAGCCTGCTTCGTGGGTGATCGCTGTGGGGTCCCCCGCCTTCACGTGTGTCTGAGGCCGAGCTTTTCGCTGGAAGGTCACGCACAAGCACAGAAGGGGTTAAGACGAAGTGTTCAGGGTTTGGGGGGGTGGCACAGGGGAGTGGCCGTTACAGGACTTTTCGTAATTGGGGTGTTACCAGCCAGGCCACACGCACCGTGTGAGACCTGAACCGTTAGCGACCCGATCGGGACTCCCGTGTCTCTTTGGCCCTGACCTGCTTGCCTAAGATTTGGGACCAGAAGTGTGTGAGGAGAGCCAGCATTTGCCCGGGGGTGGTGACGTGCACACCCAGCAAGGGTCTGCCTGGGCACTGTCCCCAAGCTGAGAATAAAGCTGAGATTGTAAGTTAGCATCTGGTTCCGAAAGACAAAAAAAGGCACCCATGTGTGGATGTGAAACTCCAATGATGAAGGAATGCCCTTGAAGAGGGGTCTTGGCCGAAGCCTGATGTGAGTGGTGTGGGGCCTGCTGTGGCAGACCACGAGCGGTGACTTTGTGTGCCATTTTGGTAACAGCACGAGCGTCTTTAAGTCCAGTCCTCCATTGGCTGCATCCAGCGCGGCGGAAAGGGGAGGCTTGGTGACCCAGAGGTCCCGCGTGTGGCCAAGCTGGCGAGGAGGCTGTGCTCCTGTCGGAAAGGGCAGACGTCCGTACGTGGGCAGGTCTTCTGGGTTCCTTTCTCGCTTGGTTTCTGACCTAACGCTTCTCGACCACGTTTAGCCCCTTTAGGTTGTTAAGTCCGTTTTAAGGTGGTTCTGATCAGGAAGACTTCTGTGTGCGGCCTGGTGAGGCCTCTTTCTACCTTGTGCGGGCCGTAGCGTTCCACGCTTTTAGAAACGTTACGTTCAGCCTTTAAAACTCTTTAAACAGAGAAAGTAATTGCCGAGGCCTGCTGGTTATCTTTGGAATATGAGTTTAAAGGATTGTCATTAGCTGAAAGAATGGAGTCTGGTTAGAAAAGAGTCTCCACACGCTGTCAGTCTGTCACTGGCTGCTTCTTGGCTCTGAGGTTTGTCTTCCTTCCTTCCTTCTTCCCTTTTTTTGTTTTAAGAAGTATACTGGCTCCTGTGTATTTTTAGGATTTTTGGTTAGGGGCATTGGTGTTGATCCCTTTTCAGTTCTATTTTGCTGTTTTACCTAGCCTATTAGAAATCACCACTGACTTACTGGCCACTGATGGAAAGCCGACTACCCTTAGCAGGTGGAAAAAGGCATGCACTGTATTCACCCTGTTCCTTGTACTGTCTGGGAAGACGCACACTCCCTTCCACACTCCCTTCCAGGCGCTGTCCCCAGCCAGGGAGGAGGTCCCTCAGGGTCCGTCCAAGAGCCTGACAGCGACTAGACAGTTACACATTAGATCCGCTTTATAACTTCTTCTGGCCTACACGGAGCTGTTGAGCTTGGGCACATAATTCTTTGGTGTACATTTTAAAGCATGCTGATCATTCAGGCACACTGTATCTTTAAGAAATGTCGGCCCATGCAGGGGTGCAGGGGTGCGGGGGGGAGGGCTTGCTGAGCTGCAGGTGGGAGCTTTGCTACTGTTTTCACGCTGCCCTGCCTTGCTATTGCTGTTGCCTGTAGCAGGCTGGCCCTGGCCCCTCCCCCACTGCTGAGGACACCGTTGGGACGGAGTGGGGTCGGGTCGATAGGACATTGTAGAGACTCCTCTTACGATCAGAGCCAGCCTTGAATCTGGATCTGGAGCGGCCGCCACATGGCCTGATGGCTGTGGCTGTGGCCGTGGCCGACCTGTTGGCTCTCACTGGCACCTTCTGGGGCCATTGGACGACACAGAGGCTTCCAGGTTAGAAGGTGGGTGGGGTGTGTGTGTGTGTGTGTGTGTGTGTGTGTGTGTGGTGTGTGTGTGTGTGTGTGTGTGTGTGTGTGTGTGTGTGTGTGTTCTCGGTGACCCGGCCCAGCCCTAGAACTGAGGCGCCCCCAGGACATTGTAGTTGAGGTCATCTAGGAGGGTCGCTTTAATAAAAGTTACTCTGAACTGTAGTGTTTTAGGTGGTGAATGATTTAAAAATTATTTTAATTCCACTCTTAATATTTCACTGTGATGTTAATTTGGAGGACCTGAGATTGGTCTTTGGATTTTAAGCTCATTAACTCTGCTGAGCACAGGATATTTATCGTTTGTAAATCCAAGATGCTATGTGAAAGTACTTCTAGTTCTTTCTTCCTTTACAAAAGCGTAACGTAAACATGGAAATAATGTTGGTTTATAGAAATATATATTGTTCAAGGTCTGTAATTGTATTTCAAAAATGATGTGGAATTCGATTTGTGAAGGGATTTGTTTTGTCAAAAAATTTAAAAATCACTCTGTACCCTGCCGTCTGAGGCACAGGCCGCGCGTTCCCCCCCCCCCCAGTCACAGCAGAGAGGACTGGGGTTCGTTAGTCCCCCTAAATGGCTACATTGTTTCCTGAAGTTGGTTCAAATATGTTCACTAGGTTACTTTGTGTTCATTAATATCATCTTGAAAAATCCCTGCTTTACTGTGGAGACAGCATTCCCTGCCCCTAAAGGAACGTATTTCTAAGGCAAATAGGCAATTTGATACTATCACATACTGAGTAGAGGGTAGAGAAAGTGTTTTCAGACTCCAGAAAACTTGGAGAAGTCAGGAACTAAGCTGCTTGGAAATCCGTGCCACAGGTGTGGCTTTGGTGGATCGGGAAGCGACGGGAAAGTTGTTGACAGTCTGTGTCCGTTCAGTTACTACATTTCTCTCTTTCCAAATGCATCCTATTGGATATGGAATAGACCGTAGATGTCGTAGACTGAGATTTGGGACCGTGTTGGGACCATTCGGGTGAAGGTGTCGCTTTCACAAACGGCATCTCCGAGTAAGTACCGTCACCTGGTGCCCGTGGAGGCGGAGCCCTGCACCCGGAGTAGAGGCTGGCACGGTGCCCGCGTACTTTGCTCCTCTTGTGGGTGGTCTGCCGAGCGGAGAGCCGGTGGATCCCTCCGACTGTGCTAGTGGTCGTTGGGTCGCTGGGAAGGGGTTCGCTGGGCCGAAGGTCGCAATCTCCCGCATCTGTGTCACGGACTGTAATATTGTAAGGTCTGTATTCTGTATGTGTATCTTAGACCCCAATCAGGAAACAAGCCTCATGTGTGTCTTAACATTTATATTTCCATTCAAAATATGTATTCAGTGTTTATTTCCTCAAAACAGACTTTGTTAATTTAGGAAATATCTCCAAGTGGAAACGTGCTAACTTTTTCTGTAAATCTTAAATAAAAGGTGCTGTTCCTTTCTTCGACCCAGGACTGGTCTGTGTTTTCTGTCTTTCTCTCCATGCATTTTTCCTTTTTTTTTTTTTTCTTTTTTTCTTTTTTTTGTAAAGCTTTAAATTTGTTCCGACCACATTGAAGGGAAGAATGTGGGTTGGTGGGCAGGGCACTGGGCTCGCTTTCCCTGAGCCCCTGTTGAAGGCCCTTTCTCTGGGCCTCGGTTCCTCGTCAGACGGGTCAGCCTTGGGCTGCCCTTTGACCGGGGCCCCGAGGTGTGGCTGGTGTTCCCAACGCCCCGGGCTCCCCAGCACCCCTAGCGTCTCAGACCCCGCCCATCCGTGACTCCGAATACGATGGACATGTTAAAATTGGGGTTTGAACGCAGAGGGTGTTTTTTTTTTTTTTTTTTTATCAAGTTGCCTTCTTTCTGGATGTTGATGATAAAGGAGTAAATGTGCTGAGCTGATAGGGAGGGGCACCATCTGGCCAGCCTGGGGGGCAGGGGGGACCTACTACTGTGTGAGACCCCCATAACTTAGTGTACGTTCATGCCGCTGTTTCTGTCTTCCTGGAAAAGGTGAGGAACTGGAGTGTAAAGGCGGCTTCCTCCTGAGACTGTGTTACTGCGGGAGGGGTCAGCATAGAGGAGCAAGGGCGGAGAGCTGGGCCCGACCTCCTGCCCCCGCCGCCCCCCCCCCCCCCCCCGCCAACCGATGCACACACCAGCCAGAGGCAGCGTGTCCCTCAAAGACCAGCCCGCTAACACCAGCTCTAAGTGTTTTGGGGTGTTTTTCTGTTCCCTGTAATTTCATCGAGCTAAGTCTGGAGGAGGTTAATTGATAAGACTACAGAATTGGGTGGGTTGGCTGGTGGGGTTTGTTCTGTTTTGTTTAATTGTGGCCCGATTTTAATTTCTAGCTTTGTAGTCATTGGTAAACGGCAGGCCTATATATAACATAATTACTTGTCGTGGTTATCAAGGTATACAGGAAATGTAGTTTATACTTCTGCTGTGTTGAAAAACTCAGTATTCAACATTCCATTTACCTAACGTCAAATAAATGCTAAATGTGTTTTTAGGTGTTTTTTTTTTTTTTCAGTTTCAATTTGGTATAGAATGTTTTCGTACTAAAGATTTGATTTCTATTTAGAGGTTTCTTGCTCCTCAAATGAGGGCAAGACGTTGCATACAGTGATGAGAGGGAGGCTTTAGCCTGGTCTCCTTGATCCCTGATGATGAAGGGGGATGAAATACGACCGGGATGGGGCGGGGGGTGGGGGTGGGGGGGGCTTTTGTTTGCTCCACGATTGCCATGTTTTTCTCCCAAGGCTTTCTCTTGGGCTCACGCGTTACCAGAGCCGGCAGGTTTGACCTTGCCTTCGCCCGCTTACCCGTCCGGGGACCACGGGCGGCAGGCAGAGGGCAAGTCGGGACGGCCCGTTAGTCGCGGCCCACTGCGTGTGCTGGCGGCTTCCAGGAGCGGCCGGGCCCGCCGTGCGGAGGCTCCCCTCCTGCCCCCTCGCTCTGGCTCTTCTGGAAAGTCACTGGGTGCTGATCTGCTTCTCTTACTGTGAAAAGCTGGGCCGTAAGCGACTGGGCGACAGAGGTCAAGATTCCCAGTCCCGGGCCCGTCCCAGGTCACCTGCTGGGGCACGTGGGGTTTTCACCAGTTCCTTCCTTGGTCAGGATGGCAGGAACGCGAAGACACGTGCCTCTGTGCCCCTTCTGCCCGCGCGGAGAGGGCGAAGTCCGCTTCTGAGCCTCCGCACAGTTACAGTTCGGTCGACCCGCCGCGCCCTCCCAGGAAACCGTGGGCACCGGGCCTCTGCGGCCAGGAGCTGGCAGTCGGGCCGCAGCCAAGCAGGAGTCGGGCCGCCTCCGCCCGCACTGGTGACCTGTGCCGCCTCCTTCGCCCCCAGGTGTCGGACGGCCCGGGAGACGAGCCCGCCGAGTCCCCGTACGAGAGCGCCGACGAGACCCAGACCGAAGCGTCTGTCTCCTCCAAGAAGTCTGAGCGGGGCGTGGCCGCCAAAAAGGAGTACGTGTGTCAGGTGAGGGGTCGGCCGCCGCTTGCTTTTGTCCTTGACCCGGGCCCGGGCCCGCACTCGCACCCGCGGTCACACGGGCTTCTGTTGTGAGGGCGCCGGGCCGCGGGGGGACCCGGGACCTAGCGCCCCGGCCGGGCTCGGGCGTCCGCGTGAGGCTGTTACGTGTCACCGCCGTGTGGCGACGTGTGGCGCACGCGTGTTCCGAACGTGCGAAGTCGGGCGTGGATGGAGGAGGCAGGGGAGCCGCGGGCGGGCCCGGGTGGGGGTGGGGGTGGGGGGTGGGGGGGGAGGGGGTCGCCCGGGCTCAGCCTGGCCGGCACCGGCGTCCTCAGTCCTCACCGTCCTCACCGCCGCGCCTCCGCCCGGCCCCGCAGCTGTGCGAGAAGCCGGGCAGCCTCCTGCTGTGCGAGGGGCCCTGCTGCGGAGCCTTCCACCTCGCCTGCCTCGGGCTGGCCCGGAGACCCGAAGGGAGGTTCACCTGCAGCGAGTGCGCCTCAGGCAAGTTCCGCGGGCGCCCCTCCCGCCCCCCCCTCCTCGGCTCCCCCCACCGGCCCACCTGCCTCCGCGCTTCGCGGGCCTGGCCCCCCCCTCCCCGCGGGTGCGCGCCTCCCCTCGGGGTCCCCACGGTTTGCTCTCTCCAGCGTGACGCGCTCCCCTCGGTGGCCGTACCGAGAGGTAGAGCGGCGTAAGGTAACCGGCAGAGTGACGGAACGGGCTGTCCTGAGCCCCGCGCTGGGAGGCGGCCGGCGTGGGTGCCCCGGTGTCAGAGGGCCCGGCGTTACCAGTACAGGTGAGCTGGCCGGTCAGTCCCAGGACATGGACGTTCACGGGAATGTGGGCTTCCGTAGACACGCGGCGCGGACCTGAACTCCGGGGTCAACGGCAAGGACGCGCCCGTCCCCGAGCGGCCACGGCTTCCTTCTGCCGCACCGCTTCCTTCGCCAGCGCACTCTGGGGGCTGCTGGGAAGAGGGGCCGCTCAGATGCGGCCCCTCCTGTCCACGCGCAGCCCCGAGGGCCTCCTGGCTCTCGTGGGCGCGTGTCCTAGGTTAGGAAGACACGTGGAGTCTTCCCGAGTCCCTCCGGTCGCAAGCCAAGGCCATCCGATGTGACGGCACCTCGCCTCTGCTGCCTGTGGTTGGTTCTAAGTGAAGGTTCGCTGTACTTGGTTGATGGCTCAGGAGGGAGAGCAAAAGCTTTCCTTCGGAGGAATGCCTGCTCTCCGGCTTCCCGCTAATTCGAGGGGGCGTCCCCACCTCAGCCGCCTCCTGCTCAGACTTCCTTGTCCTCCGGGGAAGCTGGAGCCCATCTCACGGCAAGGTAACGGCCCTGATGGTGGGACCGTTTTCTGAAGCGTGCTCGGACCGGGCACCGAGGTCCGAAGAGAGCCCGAGGCCTCGGCAGCACGGGCCGCCCCTGACGGGGCTGCTGGAGTTCGGTGGCTCAGGGACGACAGTTTAATTCTTGTTCCCTGCCCCTCTTTAACCGTCTGCCAGGGATTCACTCGTGTTTCGTGTGTAAGGAGAGCAAGACCGACGTCAGGCGCTGCGTCGTGTCGCAGTGCGGGAAGTTCTACCACGAAGCCTGTGTGAGGAAGTACCCTCTGACCGTGTTCGAGAGCCGAGGCTTCCGCTGCCCCCTGCACAGCTGCGTGACCTGCCACGCGTCCAACCCTTCCAACCCCAGGCCGTCGAAAGGTACGGGCGCTCACGGGAGGCGGGCGCGGTGGCCAAAAGGTCTGTCCCCAAAGGCCTTCGGTTTTTCTTTGGAGTGGCGGTTGTCTTTCTGTTACTGACTCGACACTGGCTAGCAGGGTTTTTCTCGAGAGGTCGGTAAGAGGATCCGCCCTGCCGTGCCTTCTTCCTGCCCTCCGTGTCCTCCCGGAGCCTCCACTGTAGGAGGGGGGCCTGTGAACCATTCTGATAGGTTCTGTTTGTTCCAGTTTTTAATTTTTAAAAAAATTTTAAATTTACTTTCAAGAGAGAGAGCATGAGCAGGGGAGGGGCGGAGAGAGAGCAAGAGAGACAGTCTGAAGCAGGCTCCAGGCTCGGAGCTGTCAGCACGGAGCCCGAGGCGGGGCTCGAACTCACGAACCGCGAGACCATGACCTGAGCTGTAGCCAGATGCTTAACTGACTGAGCCTCCCAGGTGCCCGTCTGTTTGTTCCAGTTTTAGTGCTTCTTCAGTATATGAGAAAAATGTTCTATTCATCTGTACATTTAGAGGCAGAGAGAGTGAGGCTGGGGGGGAGGGGGAGAGGGAATCTCAGGCAGGCTCCGTGCTTGATCTCACGATCGATCGTGACGTGACCTGAGCTGAAAGCAAGGGAGTCGGACATTTAACCGACTGAGCGACCCAGGCGCCCTGAGGAAGGTACTTTAACATCAAGTCGTATCTGCCTTATTTCGCGTTAGGCGTGTGGGATTGAGGACGGCGGGCTATCTGTACTTCTGACACCGGTGGTTCTCAGCCGTGGCGATGTTGCTCGCCAGGAACACTGGGCCACGTCTGGGGAGACCTTGGGGGGCGCAGATTGGCACCCAGTGGGTAGAGGCTGGAGCCGTTGCGAGACGCACTACAGGCCCCACGGGCTGGCGGTGCCTGGGTTTATCAGCCCTGCTTGACCTTATTTAAGAATGTGGCGGGGCACCTGGGGGGCTCAGCGGGTTGAGCGTCCCACTTCCGCTCATGTCAAGATCTCGCAGTTCGTGGGTTCGAGCCCCGCGTCGGGTTCTGTGCTGACAGCTCGGAGCCTGGAGCCTGTTTCAGAGTCTGTCTCCCCCTCTGTCTCTGCCCCTCCCCTCACTCATGCTTCGTGTCTCTATCTCTCAAAAATAAACAAACTTTTATTTAAAAAGAAAAAAGAGGGGCGCCTGGGTGGCGCAGTCGGTTAAGCGTCCGACTTCAGCCAGGTCACGATCTCGCGGTCCGTGAGTTCGAGCCCCGCGTCGGGCTCTGGGCTGATGGCTCGGAGCCTGGAGCCTGCTTCCGATTCTGTGTCTCCCTCACTCTCTGCCCCTCCCCCGCTCATGCTCTGTCTCTCTCTGTCCCAAAAATAAATAAACGTTGAAAAAAAAAATTAAAAAAAATAAATAAATAAAAAGAAAAAAGAGAGAGAGAGAATAAGGCATTTTAAGTGATTGACGATTCTCTTGATGGTTTTGAAGCACCTTTGCCTGGGGGAGATGTGTTTTTGTAACATCTATTAAGTGTTCTTTCCATCCTGGTTACTGCTTTCGTCAAATACGCCGAGTTTATTTCAGCGTGAATTTTCTAAACGCGTGGGGGGCTCGGTCGCCTCTCGCCGCCCTGCTCCCTGTCGGGCCTTCAGCGCGTGTCTCTGCCCCCAGGGAAAATGATGCGGTGCGTCCGCTGCCCCGTCGCCTACCACGGAGGGGACGCTTGTCTGGCGGCCGGCTGCTCTGTGATCGCTTCCCACAGCATCATCTGCACGAGCCATTTCACTGCCCGCAAGGGGAAGAGGCATCACGCTCACGTGAACGTGAGCTGGTGTTTCGTGTGCTCCAAAGGTGAGGGCTGGCGCCACGGCGGGCGGCCAGGGCGGGCTGCTTCTCTGGGCTCCCTCGCGCACAGCTCTCGCAGGTAACCCCTGGGGCCTCCGCGCCCGCCCTGCTCCGGGTGGGGACGCCCCCGATGTCTCCCAAGTGCTCCCGTGCCGGTGTGCGCCGTGACGTTTCTGAACTCACGGAGGCCGGCGCACCGCCGGAGGGCGAGTTCGCCGTGATGCCAACAAGACGGGCTTGTTTCGTTGCGCCCCGACGGCCGGCCGTGGTTAGGCTCGCGTCGTGGAGCGAGGGGCGGGAAGGGCCAGTGTGAGCCGCTCGCCCTCCCTTGCAGGGGGAAGCCTGCTGTGCTGTGAGTCCTGCCCGGCGGCCTTCCACCCCGACTGCCTGAGCATCGAGATGCCCGACGGCAGCTGGTTCTGCAACGAGTGCCGAGCCGGGAAGAAGCTGCACTTCCAGGACGTCGTCTGGGTGAAACTGGGGAACTACAGGTGTGAGGACCGGAACCCTGTCTGCCTCCTTGTTCACTGTGTTCTTTTCACTTTGCAGGACTGAAAGCGCTGAATGACTGTCACTCTGTCTGAAGAGTCTGTGAACCCTGTTTTTAATATTTATAATAGATGGTGGCCGGCAGAAGTTTGCCATCCCAAAAATGTTCCCCCAAATATTCAGAAAATGAAGCACGAGATTGGAGAATTCCCTGTGTTTTTCTTTGGGTCTAAAGATTATTACTGGACGCATCAGGCGCGAGTGTTCCCGTACATGGAGGGGGACCGGGGCAGCCGCTACCAGGGGGTCAGAGGGATCGGAAGAGTCTTCAAAAACGGTACGGACATTTCCAGACGGAGCGAAACCGCACCCTCGGGTACCTTCTGCTAACCCTGATTTTTGTTGTTTGAAAGTTTGGTTTCTGTAGAGAACACCAGGCTGAGCATTCTAGCCGTGCTTTAAATTAGGAAAACGTAGGTTTGCAGACTGATTGGTTGAGGCACAGGATAAAATGTACTCCCGAGTAACGTTTACAGCATTGGTTTGGGATTAATTTCACTCACATGCATTGGAAGCTCTATTTTTATTTAAACATTTTTTTTTAAGTTTATTTTGAGAGAGTGAGCGGGGGAGGGGCAGAGAGCAGAATATCCCAAGCAGGCTCTGCAACGTCAGTGTGGAGCCCGACGCGGGGCTCGATCCCACGACCCCAAGACCATAACCTGAGCAGAAAGGAAGAGTCGGTCTCTTGACCGACTGAGCCCCCCTGGTGCCCCGCAGTGGAAGTTACTTAGAAGAAGTTATTCCAGTGCTGGTTTACAGAGCTGTCTTCTGCCTTGCCTGTCATGTAAGATAGAAATGTGGAGAAGACTTTGCCGCCGCCTAGACCGGGTGCCCCGGGAAGGGCCAGGTGTGGGTAGGTAGACAGGTGCCCCGCTCTCTGATTCCACAGCCAGGGTGACTGACGGGATGGGAATGCCACCGCCTGACTGGAGGAGGTGGCATTTACTCGGGGCCGAGAGTGAGTGGGACGGAAGGGGGACTTGGCGTGCGTGCGGCTCGTCCTAGTCCACGGAGGGCGGGCGCATTGCGGCCGGTGGCACGTGGGGGTGGCTGGGTGGGCTGTGCTGACAGACCGGCGTCTTGTCTCCTGTGGGCCTCACGCACGGCAGGCAGCAAAGGTCTGATGAGAAAGATTTTCAAAACTCGTAATGAGATGACAGATGTTGAAACTGAGACTTAACGTGCTGGAGTCCGCTGGCGGGTCGTGAGGTCAGACTTGAGTCCTGGGGGTCAGGGTGGCCCCAGCACGCAGGGCGTCCTCCGCCCTCGCTCGAGCCCGGTGCCACCCCCGCCCCCTCCCAGAGGACGTGTCCTCCCGGGAGGATGTTAGATCCCCGCGGGCAGGGAGAGCTGGAGCGTCAGCCTCCCAGAGAAACCCGCCCTGGGCCTTCCTGGTGGCAGGTGGCACGGCACAGCGCCTCCCAGGCCTCCTCGGCCCGGCGCTCTCTGAGCATCTTGGGTGGAAGACCCTCGTGGCATTTAAAGCACCCGCCCTGAACAGCGTGCACACCCCAGAGCCTCCTGGACACCGGTAACCGCACTTGGCGGGACACGGAGGCTTGCGTCGGCCGTTTAGACGCAGAGCCTGTAGGTGGAGGTGTGAATTTAGTAAACCTCTTACTCACGCTCACATTTCGTGGACTTTTTAGCACTGCAGGAAGCTGAAGCTCGTTTTCGTGAAATCAAACTTCAAAGGGAAGCCAGAGAAACACAGGAGAGTGAGCGCAAGCCCCCGCCGTACAAGCACATTAAGGTGACGGGGGTGGGGGGCCGGGTCAGGGGTCACTGCGGGGACCGTGGGTGGGCCCTCCGGCCGCGGTGGGTAAGAGGGCTGCCGTGAGCAAGCGTCTGTCTGCAGCCCCCGTGTGGACCGCTGCCTGAGGTCACGGGCAGAGAGCAGGTGCAGCCACTGCCCAGCGTGTGTCCTTTCTGGGGGGCGGGGAGGGCGTGCAGGCAGGGCTGGGGGGGGGGGGCTCCGCGGTTTTGGGTTTTGCCCTCGTGTGAGGCTCCAGCCGGGAGCCCGTGAGGCGCGGGGGTGGTGGCGGGCACGCCGTCGTCACCCGGTGCTGGGGACGAGCTTGGATGAGAGGTGGCCGGCCCGGGCCGGTGCTCGGCTGGAACGTGGCTTGGTCAGCCGGAGCCCTGGAGACAAAGCGATGTTCCCGCCGTAGAGGGTGTGGATGCCGCACAAGGACTGCGGGGGTGGCCGTGCTGCCTCCGGCGAGCCCGGCAGTCCCGGCAGGGAACCTGGGTCCCCACGTCCCCACGGGGTGGGAGGGAGAGAGGTCCAGGAGCTCCTCACAGCCACGCTGGGTGAGCCGATGTCACCGTGTCCTGCCGCCTGGGTCCCGGCAGCCTTCTCGACACAGTGTGTCAGCTGCCTTCTGGCCGCTCGAGGCCGCGTCTTTGCTCCTCAGATCCGGGCGGCGCGCCCTGTGTGTGCGTGTGCAGGTGACACGTTCTCTGGGGCTAGTGTTTCCTCAGGGATGACTTCGTGGAGATGGAGCTCCTGGGTCAAACAGCTTGGGACCTGAGGGCTCCTGAGGCGGGTTTTCAGATCGCGCTTCTGTGTTTCGCTGTCGCGGCCCAGCAGTGAGGAGGCCTTTGTTCCGCCGCGTTTCCCCTCGCCTTACTGGCCTCGGCTTCAGTCCCTCTTCCCCTCTGTCTGTGGCTCTGTGGTTGGGTTGCTCTTGTGCTGTCACCGTGAACCGCGAGTGTGCCAGGGCAGAGCCTCCCTGGTCACCCGCCTGCGGGTCCCCGCTACAGGGACCCTGCCCCGTGCTCAGCACGTGCTTGTGCGCCTGTCTTCCGGCAGCCTGGCGGGGCAAGCGTGGACGAGGGACGTGAAGTGACGGGGGGGGGGGGGGAACCATGCCCCCCCCCCCCCACCGCCACCCTCCTCTGGAGCGTGGGGACCGGCGGGAGGCCGGGGTGCTTGCTCTCTCGTCTGACGCGCCCCCGTGTCCCCGGCAGGTGAACAAGCCCTATGGGAAAGTCCAGATCCACACGGCCGACATCTCTGAGATCCCCAAGTGCAACTGTAAGCCCACCGACGAGAACCCCTGCGGCTTCGACTCGGAGTGTCTGAACCGGATGCTGATGTTCGAGTGCCACCCGCAGGTGTGCCCCGCGGGCGAGTACTGCCAGAATCAGTGCTTCACCAAGCGCCAGTACCCCGAGACCAAGATCATCAAGACCGACGGCAAAGGGTGGGGCCTGGTCGCCAAGCGGGACATCAGAAAGGTGTGTGCCGAGCCCCTTTCCTTGCTCGCAGGAAACCCTGGGCCGGCTGGCGGTTTACGCTTGGCTATGCTTAGTACGCTTTTGCACGCACGTAAGAACGGGGTTTTTAAAAAGTCTGAGTGACTACGGTTGAACGTCGTAAAACGTTACGTGCGTGCTGTCTAGCAAAGTAAAACTCAGCAGGCCCCTGACTTGGCCTCCACTTGGCATTTTGGAGGTCGCTCTGTGACAGGAAAGACCGTGAAGGAGCCCTGCCCTGGATGGGCGGCCGTTCCGTCCGGGGCAGCGTGGGACCAGGTCGTCCGTCAAGGCCACAGGCCACACACGGCCTGCCCGTGTCCCAGGCTGGGCAGCCGGAAGTAGAGAGGCAGCCGGAATTGGCTTACGAGGCCAGGCTGTGGCCTGGGGGGCGGCGGCGGCCTCAGACCCCAGGTCTGGTTCAGGGCCGATCCCGGGTGAGAGCAGCGGCTCTGAAACGCGCACGGCCCCTGCGGGTCCGGTTCCACTGCCCGCCTCGGCGGCCAGTTCCTCCGGGCTCTCGCCGTGTAGACTCTGCTAGGGAAGGCGAGCCGTGGCAGCCGGCCGTGTGGGAGCTTGGGGTGTGCCGCCAGGGTGCCCGGAGGCAGTTGCTGCAGGAAGCGAGGGTTAGGGTGCCGCTTTGGGAAGGACGCTCGGGTGAACTGTTCCCTGACAGCTGAGTATGGAGTCGTTGAGGTAGACCTGAACTTCCAGGGACTTGGGAAGACGCGCCCCGGACGGCATCGTGACGTGCGTGCGGTGCCGGCTCCGGGCGCTTCGGGCGCGGGCTCCTGCACCCGGACCCCGTTGTTCACCACGGTCACGGTCTGCTGTTCCGCCTTCCAGGGAGAGTTCGTGAATGAGTACGTCGGTGAGCTGATTGACGAGGAGGAGTGCATGGCGAGGATCAAACATGCACACGAGAACGACATCACACACTTCTACATGCTCACCATAGACAAGGTAGTGCTGCCAGCTCCCCACGGGCCGTGTGCTGCGCTGTGCCCCGGGGCCACAGGCCTGTCTGTGGTCCTGTCCGCGTGGCCCGGTCTTCAGACGTTTATGCGTTCTCTCCTGAGGGGCACGGCGTCTCCCGGCAGCTGCCTGAGGGCCTGTCTGCGTGAGGGCGTCCTGGGGCCGCGTGCATCCGCTGGTGCGTGCACAAAGTACCAAACAGGCCGGACCGAGGGTCGGTGAAAAGAGGAGAAAAGACGAGGAGAGTTACACGTTTTCGGCCGCACAGCCCAGGTGTGCAGTTTGCAGGATACGTCGGCCAGAGGGACCGATGTCCTCGGGGCAGGGGCCACACCGCCCGTTTGCCGGTGGGGGTGAACGGAAGAAGGTGCATCCGGGACGCTCACGGGTTGGCTCCCGCCCGCCAGGACGGCCCTTCCCGGGTGTGTGCGCGGAGGGCCGCTCTGACCCCAGGGGCGGCCTCTGTGGTGCCCGAGCGCCGTGCGTGGGGAAGGCAGTCACGGGGCTCGTGTCCGCTGCTCGGCCTTGAGGCCGTCGTCCAGCAGGAGCGGGTGGCTACCGCGAAGGATGGCCGGAAACGAGGTAGAAGATGATCACGCACCAGGTTAGGATGGTCCCAGGGACCTCGCAGGGTCGTCCCCAGGGAGGCCGCGGCCCCACCAGGAGGAGACGAGGCAGATGCCGCGGTCCGTGTGCGCTTCCTGCCGGGACCCTAGACCCTGGGGCTGGGATGCCGGACGGGACCCCCTGGAGACCGTGCGGGAGACCCCACTGTGGACACGGTGCCGTCCCTGACGGCTAAGTGTCTGCACAGGGAGCTCCTCGGGAGGACAGCGTTGACGTGTCTGAGGAACTCACTGGCAGAGGGTGAGGGAAGGAGCGTGTGCGCGGGCACCTCTGCGGGCTAGGTGATGAGGACAAAGCAAACATGTGAAAGTGTCAGTAGGCGGCGTGTCCGGGTGAGAGGTGCGGGTGTCGGCCGTAGCATTCCGTTTTTCTTCCTGTAAGTTCGAAATCGCTCAAGGTGAAGGAATTGGTTAGAAAGGTGAGGGTCCTGCACTAGAGGGGGGCGGAGCTCCTCCCTGGGCCCGTCGGGGGGCACAGTACATCCGGAGCCCCTGCCGGAGGTGGGTCCGGCAGACCCCACAGGCTGGCAAACAGGGGTCCCGTGGTACAAGAACACCCAGCCGTGGATGGGGGAGGACCGACTGCCCACAACACGCGTGTAGGGTGGCAGGTGAGGGGCAGAGAGCCCGCTTCTCAGAAGCAGGGGCGAGCGCGTGCAGCCTCCGGGGGCCAACCCTCATGTGGGGACCACTGCCAAGGCCTGCTCGGAGGCCTGGCGGGCAGCTGGAGCTGAGGCACCCGTGTAGACCCCTCAGAGGGCTGTAGTCCTAGGCAAGGGGCCCGTACGCTTGGCCCCGAGGGTAGCGGATTTAGGCTGCCCGCTGCCACCCCCCTCCCTTTTAGACGGTAGTGGTGAGGGAGGTTGTTTTATTAGAAGTTTAACACTTGAAACGCGTGTCTTACCAGGTTTTGGAGTCAAAATGTAAACCACTCGTGTGTCGTAAGAAATGCCAGTTTCGTCATTTAACACACACATTGGTCCCTGAAATTGCTGAACCCTAATAATTCACTTAGGCTCCCTGACTGAAGAGAAGATAAAGCCAAAGACCCACGAGAGAGAAACAACTCATACCTCACGTCACGTCCTTGCCATAAAAAGAGTGCAAGTCCCACTTCAGCGCTTATGGGGCCGTGGAACAGGATGTCCTTAAGCAGGACCTTCACAAAGTCTCAGCTTTTGGTGAGAGCCAGAAGTAGTAAGACTGAAGTCTGGCACCAAGTCTTAAGTGAGCGTGTGAGAAACGGCCGAAGCCATTAAAGGAGACGTGGCGATCACGCCTCACACCGAGAGCTAACACGCAGTCGTCGAGATGAGCCCAGAAGGCGGCTGAGGAGACGCTGGGCAGCCACAGGGCAAATGGCTGGAGCGGAAGCCGGGACCAGAGAGGCTGTCGGCCGTGGCACGGGAAGGGAAGATGAAAACCTTGTCGGAGAGGCCGGGAGACGCAGAAGGCAGACACGTTCAGATGCTCCAGAAGGAAAGACAAGAGAATGGGGGAAGGGTCATGTGGCAAAAGGATTTTCTAGAATCTGATGGAAACTGACCCAAGTTTTGAATAGCACAACTAAAAATAAACGTATACCTAGAGATGCTATTAAAAAAAAAAAAACACCCAAACGTAGCAAAGACATGTAGCAGGGACGCCAGAGACTGAAAGTGGCAGAGAGAGGAGCACGTTCCAGGAGCGACAGCCAGACAGTCAGACTCCTCCACGTGTGACCCACGGCCAGAAGACACGGCACAGAGTGGCAGGTGGTAGCCCCCGCTCCACAACCGAGCACCACCGAGGAAGCAGAGCGAGCTTCAGAAGTGACCTGCGAGACGCAAGCAGGTGTGGTGTGCATGCGAATCCATAGTGGGCACACCTGTACGGGTCTGGCCGCCTGGCACCGTGGGAACCACGGTGGTGATTGCTGGGCAGGAGGGGCTGTGGTGTCAGGGGCAGGGCAGGCTGACGGCCCCAGACGGGTTAGAAGTGGTGGCACGGAGCCATTGCGAGCTGCTTGTTTTGTGTGGATGCGGGGGTGAGGTCTCACCAACTTTCCACTTTGGCAAAGTATGCATGTTAAAGCTACACTGAAAATTACTAAATGAATAGAAACAGAAGGTGTGACTTCCAAGTCGTCGACTGAGTGGAAAGGAGCATGAGGAAAGTAGACAGTGAGGTAGGAGGGAGGTAAAAAGAGAAAAGAGGGTAATTAGAAAGCATGGGTTTAGCTCAGCTGGTTCTGTGTCCAACTCTTGATTTCAGCTCAGGTCATGATCCCAGAGTTGTGGGGTTCAAGCCCTGCATCAGGCTCCACAATGAATGCGGAGGCTGTTTGGGCCTCTCTGTCTCTCTCTCTCTCTCTCCTTCTACCCATCTCCTCTGTTTTTTCTCTCTTAAAAACAAAAAACCATGCACGGGACACAAAAATACACGTGTGGCAATGATCACAATAAATGTAAATGGCTTAATTTATAAGACTAAGGTTTAGACTGACTAAAATACAGGAACCTGATTTAAAAAAAAAAAATTTTTTTTAACGTTTGTTTTTGAGACAGAGAGCATGAACAGGGGAGGGCCAGAGAGAGAGGGAGACACAGAATCTGAAGCAGGCTCCAGGCTCTGAGCTGTCAGCACAGAGCCCGACGCGGGGCTGGAACTCACAGAGCGCGAGATCGTGACCTGAGCCGAAGTCAGACGCTTAACCGACTGAGCCACCCAGGCGCCCCGGGAATCTGATATGAAGCTCTGTGACTTATGTATTAAGAATGAACTAGAGGGGTGCCTGGCCGGCTCAGTCTGTGGAGTACGGGCCTCTCTGATCTCGGGGTCATGAGTTCAAGCCCCATGTTGGGTGTGGAGATTACTTTAAAAAATTAAACAAAAAAAGGAAGCAGAAAGCTTGTAAGTGTACTAGAAAATTAAAAACTTAGCAAAGGCTAGTGCAGAGAAGGCTGTTCGTAGTACATTAGCATCAGATAAAGTAGACTTTGAACAGCCACAGCAGCCAAGGAGGAGGCCTTAGTAGGGTCCTCACTCCCCTGCTTACTGGGTGCAGTTGTGGGGGTGGAGGAGACCCAGGAACTCGATGCGTATCTAACAGCTTGGAGAGATCTTAAAAGAAGGTCAATGAAGAAAGTGGGAGACAGGAGTGGACCCGCGGTGCAGCAACAGGAACCTGTGAACATTAAAATGCACGTAGGACTGTGGTAGGAGAGGGTGGCTGCTCGCTCCCAGAGCAACGGCAACAAAACGTATACGGAGTACGTCTTCGGTGGGGCTGGGGACAGACAGGCCATCAGCCTGGAAGTGCCTTTGTCAGAAGAGACGAAGAGCCGTCTGCAGGTGGCACCTGCTGGGCAGCAGCACTGAGTCTTGGAAGGGGGCAGCGGAGACGGGCGGCATGGGGGCTCCTGGGAGGCAGGAGTGACGGGCTCGGGAAGGGCCGTCTTCCGAGAGAGACAGAGAAGGTGCCCGAGACAGAGCACGTGGCGCACACTCCCTGAGTCCAGCTGCTGCGGGGCCCCGGCGCCCTCCGAGCGGGGTGGCAAAGGGACCACAGAAGCCGCCTGTGGTGGAGAGAAGCCACTGGGACGGCTGCCGTCACAAAGCACTGGACTTGAGAGAGTGAGGAGTCAGAGGCGGCCAGACGGCAGGCAGAGCTGAGTCGGGAACGCGGGGGGCGTGGGGTGGAACAGGAGGAGACCGGCATCTCCCATCAGAAGCTTCAGCTGCCCGGAGCGCGTGGAAGCGCGGGGCAGACGTGGGACAGACGCGGGGACTGAGCAGGACGCGGTGGGGAGAGAGCGGGGAAGGACGAGACCAGCACAACACAGGGCACGGGCCGAGGACAGTCTCTGCGTGACCGCGGGCGCTCCAGACACCGGAAGGAGGTGAAGACGGTGCTGTGTTTCCGGGAAATCCATCCAGAATGGCCAGCGTAGGAAATACTGTATCAAAATTATGGGTGTGACAAAACCTTCTGGTAGCCAGACGAAGACACTGAATTGCGTACCAGGGAAGAGAACGAGGCCGGCTTGCCAGCTGTGGACACAGAGCTCCGCGCCTGAGCACAGAGGGTCGGCTCCCACACGGTGTTCAGGAGAAGAGAGGGCCAGAGACCAGAGACCCTGCGGCCAGCTGAGCAGTTCATCAGGGGCAGCGGCTACAGGGTAAGAGGCTCGAGTGTGAGGCGCGGAGCCAGGAGGCTGTCCGGGAGCACAGCGTGCTTGGGGTATCGTGCCCAACACAGGGAAGGGCAGCCCAGGTCACCTCTGGTGGGAGCCGGGGATCGGAGCCGGTAACTCCCGGAGGGAGACCGAAGGTGGCCGAGCGGTGCTGGCGAGGTGGGGTCACTGAGGCCATGGTGGCAGACCCGTGGGTGCCACACACGGCTGGAGATGCTGGGCTGCTTATAAAGGGTGGTCGGGAGGACAAAACTCCAAATTGCCAACAGGACGGGAAAATTGTAACGAAATCCGCGTTACTTCGCGGTGAAAGGCTTAAGAGGCCTGCATGCAAACAGAACGGGCTGGTAGGTTAGACTTGTGCACAGCGTATCGTCCTGTCTGTAAACAGGGAATTGAATTGACTCGCCTGTTTAAAGATTCCCCGAGTGGTCCGTAAAGCAAAGCCTGCTTCTCTGCTGTCCGTAGAAAGAAAGATTCTGAAAGCTGGAGTGTAAAGTCGTGTACGGGGCAGGCGGCCCCTGTCAGGTGAGGTCGGACTCCGGCCCCACCACGTCCGGGGGCTCAAAGGAAGCCCTCGATGGCGGCAAGGACCCCTTCGTGCAGAGCGCGTGCCCGGCGCCACATCCCTCGTGCGGCAACAGGGAGGCCAGGAGAGGCTGGGGGAGCTGGTCTGCCATGCGTCCGCCTCTGAGGCAGAGGGAGGGGCCCTGGACAGACAGACAGACAGAAAGAACACGGTTAATGAGGGAACTGAAGTCAACGCACAACTTTAGCAGTTAGCAAACAGCACAAGTAAAAAGCCACGTCCGTCCCCCTCCCCCCCCCCCGGTCCCCAGGGCTTTCCACAGACACACCCCCGCCCCCTCCCCCCCCCCAAGGGCAGATCCCAGGCCTGGCCCAGTGATAGGGCAGAGGGAGCGGGCTTGGGGCCCACAGGAGGGGAGGGTGCGCCCCTGAGAAGCACCCCCCCCCCGCCCCCGTCCCCCAGGAGCGCAGGGGCCTTCACAGCCCAGGACTGACAGACGCAGGAAGGCACCCACTGTCACCTTAACGAGTGCCACGGAATCCTCTGAGGCTGTGTAAGCCCCACTCCCTGAACACTGGGAAACTGGGAAAAGAAGGGAGTTTCTTCCAGTTTGGTGAAGCTGTGAAAATCTGTCCCAGACTCTCGGCCTGAGACGGCTCAGGAAGGAGACAAGATGCTGTGGCTGCTGCTCCTGACCCCGGACACGGCGGCATGGGGGAAGGCTCAGGGACGACCTGCGCACCGGCGTCAGGTCCCCCCCACACACGCGGAAACACTGGCGACAGCTCTCCCGCGGGACACATGAGAGGACACGAATGAACGAGACACGGCTCTGTTTCTGGTTGAGAGGAAATGTCACAATGTGCGTCTTCCCAAACGTCAAATTGCCATGATCTCCACGCGAAGATTAACAATTTAAAGTAAACGTCGGGGCGCCTGGGGGGGCTCAGTCGGTTGAGCGTCCGACTTCGGCTCGGGTCATGATCTCACAGCTCGTGGGTTCGAGCCCCGCGTCGGGCTCTGTGCTGACGGCTCGGAGCCTGGAGCCTGTTTCGGATTCTGTGTCGCCCTCTCTCTCTGCACCCGCAGAGCACTCTGTCTCTCTCTCTCTCAAAAATAAATACAAACGTTAAAAAAAATCATAAAAGTAAATGTCGATGGGCCATCTAGAAGAGCCCACGCAGACGGCGAAGCCCGCAGGACTGAACGGTGCTCACCCACGCTCTGTGGCGTTCCCGTGAACGGTGTAGCCCAGTCTCAGCGGCAAGTGACGGGGCGGCAGACGACAGACCTCTGGGCAATGGTGCCCCCTCACTGCACTCACAAGAGGAGATCTTCCAGATGCCGTAAGGAGCCAGGAAACACCGGAGGTCTCTTGTGTAACTTAGGGGTTAGAGAAGGCTGTGCGAGGCTAGTCGAAGACCCTGAACGCATAAAGTAAAGGATTGACAAAATCAGTTGTGTAAAACTGGGCAAGTTTTGAGCGAGAAAAGGTACCATCAAGTTAAAAATCGAGTGTCGTCCTAGGAGAAAGATTTGACACATAGTTACCAAGGGTCTGGTATCCAGAATATACACACACGTGCGTGCGCACGCGCGCACACACACACACACACACACACACACACACACATAGGGAGGGAGCTGCAGATCACCAGGTCGCCCAGGGATGCTGGCCCTCAGCCCTCAGCCAGGAAGTGCACCCTCGAGCCCTGGGGCCGGTGACGCCGTGGAAGCTGTGGGGCCAGGGCCTCCACCGCTGTGGGAAGGAACACCGTGCGGGCCGTGAAAGGCCCCTATGCAGAGGGAAAGGGCACACTGCAGAGCAAGCCCGTTCTGATCGCATTTCTGTATTGAAAGGAACACCTGGTGTGGGTGTAGATCGTGTATTTGCACATTTGTTCACCCCATTCACACAGAGCTCTGCACAAACTCGTGACCACAGTGCTGTATGTGCCTGATCTTAAGTGCCCTCCTCCCCCGTGCATCCCTTACCTCGGCTGCCCCCCTCACGGGGCAGGGACCTCCAGCCGCACCGTCCCGTTGCTGGACGGTGGTGGCGTGTGCATGAGTGCTGCGTTGCGGGCTTGGCCCCAGGGCAGGGCCACGGCGTGCACCTGTTTGTGGATTTTCCGCCAGCGCCGGCTGCTTTAATCAAACCCGTTCCTGCGGTCACCGAGTGCGTCCGGTTCCGTTGTCCTTTTCACCTGCGTTTCCTCCACTGCTTGGCAACGTGGACACCTTCCCAAAGTGCTTGCGCGTCTGGGTCAGATCTTCGGGAATCGTGTGGTTATATCCTTTGCTCCTTTGGAACCGGGGTCCTGTCGTTTGTGTCCGTCGATGTGAGTCTCTGGCGGCTGTCAGTGGTGACGCCTTCCCGTCCCTCCTGGCTTGTCTGTCACCTGCTGGCTGGTGTGGGGAAGCGCCTGCCGGCTGCCCCGTCCTCACCGGGACTCGCTGGGGCTTGGTCCTCGCCACGTGGTCCTGACCTGCCCTCCGTGAGTGAGAGAAACAGAGAACTGGTTTGGGGGCGTCCTGTCCGAGCGGACACAGGAGGCCACGGTTTCCAGTACAACATCGTCGGCCAGTGGGAGAGACCGTGAAAATTCCCTTTAAGAAGGGCATAATGGCTAAGGGTCACCCCCGCGTTTAAATGCGACTTGAAACTTGAGTTGTACCTTACAGGACCGGATAATTGATGCTGGCCCCAAAGGAAACTACTCCCGGTTCATGAATCACAGCTGCCAGCCCAACTGTGAGACCCTCAAGTGGACGGTGAACGGGGACACTCGCGTGGGCCTGTTTGCCGTGTGCGACATCCCCGCAGGTACGACATATCCGCGGGCTCCCCCAAGGCCGTGACGCCGGTGTGGACGTGAGCGAGTAGGAGTGTGTGTTGTGGGCCTGACGAACGCGTTTCCAGGGTGGCCGCGTGTCTCTTCTCCCCTAGGGACGGAGCTGACCTTTAACTACAACCTCGACTGTTTGGGTAACGAGAAGACAGTCTGTCGGTGTGGGGCCTCCAACTGCAGCGGGTTCCTTGGGGACAGACCAAAGGTAAGGTCACGGATGCCAGCCTTTCTGACGTCTGCGGACACGTCCGTCCCTTCTTCCGGGCTGGCGGGTAGCTTTGGCGGGCAGGAGGGGTCCCTGCAGGGTGTGGGCGGCAGGGCTCCGGGCTCCTATGGCTCACGCGGCCGGAAGTCTGCAGCCAGAGCGCCGTCCGGGCCTCGCTCTGTCCGGGCCTCGCTCTGTCCGGGCCTCGCTCTGTCCGGAGGCTCTGCTGGCTTCTGGCAGTTTCCAGCCGGCCTTGGCGTGCCTTGGCTGGTGGACGCGTTACTCCCGTCTCTGCCCTGATCTGCACAGGGCCTTCTCCCTGTCTCTGTGTCCCTTCCTCTCCTCGTGAGGATGCCAGTCATTCTGGGTTAAGGGCCCGCCCTGCCCCAGTAGCACCTCATCCTAACGTATTACATCTGCATCAACACCGTTTCCAAGGAGCATCCCGTTCTGAGATTCCGGGCAGGTCATGAATTTGGGGCCCACTTACCTGCCTGCCTAGGCCCCCAAACGCGGGGGGATCACGGGCATCTGGCCCGGAGTTGGGCTGTCCACGGGGGTCTGCTGCTTCAGCCGAGGGCATGATTCTGTTTCTCTCGCTCACAGTGCGGTTCTTACTGGAAAGAGCGAGGGGCGCATCCCGTGGGGGCGGGGCCGCTCCGGGCCCGTGCGTCCCGCCCACAGATCCGGGAGGCGCCGACAGCTGCTACTGCAGAGGCTCTTGGCAAAGCTGGTCCTCCTCGCTGTGCTCAGTGGTCACCCGTGGGGCAGAACAGGCGCGCGCGTGTGTGTGTGTGTGTGTGTGTGGGATGAGCCCCACCCCCCCCACCCCCCCGAGGCACACGCCTGGTCCCCGCTCGGTCTCCTCCAGGCGAAAGCGTCTGCAGAGTCCCCGGAGATGCACGCACCTGCACCACGGCTCTTGTGCTCCCTCTTTGTGGTTCCGTTTGTTACTGCTTTGGTCCACGCAGGTCTCGTAAACAAAGCGCGTTGGTTTCTCACTTTAGACCTCGACGTCCCTTTCTTCAGAGGAAAAGGGCAAAAAGAGCAAGAAAAGAACGAGGAGGCGGAGAACCAGAGGCGAAGGGAAGAAGGAGTCCGAGGATGAGTGTTTCCGCTGTGGGGACGGCGGCCAGCTGGTGCTGTGTGACCGCAAATCCTGCACCAAGGCCTACCACCTGTCGTGCCTGGGCCTGGGCAAGCGGCCCTTCGGTGGGTGAGCGGGCCCCCCCGGCGGCCTTTGGGGGTCCCTGTCGATGGCTCTCCTCTCCCGGTCACAGACTCGGTGACTCAGGTAGCGAGGCCCGGCCCAGGGAGGTCCGTGTGTGGAGTCAGGGTCTGCGGCGGGCACGGCCGTGGAGCCCCTCGGACCACCCGGAGCGGGGCTTGGGCCAAGGTCCCGCGAGTGGCTGCCGAGCCAGGGCTGCCGGCGTGGGAGGGGGGCCGGGCTCCGGGCGCAGAGCTCTGCCCAGCCTTGGGTGTCGTAGGAAGGGGGCCCCCGGAGCCAGCCTGGGACGCGCAGGGCCGGGAGGGGGACACGGGGCGGGCTCCGCCTTGTTCTCAACAGCCTCGCTCTGGAGGGATGACGGGTGAGGGTGTGACATGTTAACTTGTCCAGAAGCGAAACAGATCCTCATGCAAACCAAAATCTATACAAAGGGAAGTCAAACACGTTTGATCGTAAAAGAAAACAGATCGTGTGCAAAAGATGACAGAACGAGACTTTCTGGACAGACGCGAGAGGGAAGTGTGCAGGTGACGGGGTGGTGACCCCACTGAGCAGCAAGCTGGTGCAGATTAACGCCGGAAAGATCAAATCCCCAGTAGAAAGCCGGTCCAGGCCACGGCGAGGTCACAGAGAAGCCGGAGTGCCAGCGGGGCCCGGGGGTGGGCCGCGTCCCCCGCCGGGCCGGCCCGCCTGGCCTCTGCTCCTCTCCACGTCAGCTGGGGAGGAGCGGTGTCGTCTCTGTTCGTCTCACCGGACAGTCCACGCAAACGCTAGAAGTTGTTGATGCTTCCGCCGCTCCGGCTCACGTTTCGTGTTTCGTTGCAGGGAAGTGGGAATGTCCTTGGCACCACTGTGACGTGTGTGGCAGACCTTCCACGTCATTCTGCCACTTCTGCCCCAACTCATTCTGCAAGGAGCACCAGGACGGGGCGGCCCTCGGCTCCACGCGGGACGGGCGGCCATGCTGCTGCGAGCATGACCTGGGGGCCGTGTCGGCCCGGAGCGCCCAGACTGGGAAACCCTTTCCGGAACCCAGCAAGTCCAAGGGGAAGAGGAAGAGAAGGAGGTGCTGGCGGAGGGTCACGGAAGGCAAATAGCGCCAGGCAGTGG